TTGTGTCTGACATTTTCGTGTAAACCCCGTTATCTCTCCTTGCATGCTACCGACTCCATGTTCCTCCAAATGTGCAGTATACGAGTAATTGAAATAGAACCATTATCTGCATGTAGGCACTGATGTCCTTCACTCTGAATACGGAGCGCGGATTAGGAAAATAGACGTCCAGGGCCCTGTTCCTAAAAGCGATCGTAGCGCTAAGGTGATCGTAACTCCCATACTTTAACACAGACTTACGACTGTCGTAGCGCTACGATCGCTTTGAGGAACGGGGTCCAGCTCACCTAGTCAGTGTTTAAATAAATTAATGTATTAAGAAATATAATTATTACATGTATATCTTTTTATGTTTGTATTATCTCTCTGTTATTTTTCGTCCATCCACCCATCCATCCATCGATGACTGATCACATTAATGAAACTTACCATTATCCATTGTTTTCTACATTTTCCCGCGACATACGTATTTCCTTCATTAACCGTCCTGATCGAATTAACGCCGGGTTTCGAATAATCGGCGGGACTCCGTAAAACGGCGGTTAGTATTCATACATGGTATTGTCCCTTTAATTTTCCTTGCGATTTGACACCCTGGATAAAGAGTATCTTAAAGAAATATACTTCCGTAACGCCCAATCGAGGGAATACGATATGTGTGAATATTATATCAATTATTTTGTCATATTATTATTATTTTTTTCTTAAGTTCGATATGTCGAAACATAGTTATTTGTACATATAGTCAAATTGTTGTGCAATGTAGTGTAGAGTGTATACGTCATCCGAATAACTTCCATTCGCGTCAGACAATGCGAATACCATCCGCTACTGTCTCCGAAGGAAGCAGGCAACGTGCCGAAGTGCTGTTATTTCCGCGTGGCTCTGTAGACAGTATTCGCGCGTGACAACTGACATTCATTGGCGTTGGTGCCTGCATTGCCGAACTTGTTTTAGAGGTAGCGGGGTGTCGATTCCTGATTTCTGTCCACGTAATGCGCAATATTTTGTATGTATGATTTAGGAAGTACAAATACTTTTGAAAGAAAAGAACTCGGTCATGACACATTTATTACCCTAAAATTAACCTTTTTTCTTCGTTTGGACGTGGGTACATTTCACCGTGTTTTCGGTTAACAAATTTTGGATTGTTGGTCAGAAATTACTTTATCTTCAAAGTATTTCCCTATCGAGTTGGGATTCTCTTTGTTAATTCAGAGATAGATATGTTCGATCATGATATAATGGAGAAACAACTGACAGGATAATTGGGGGAATGCATAGGGCCGAATTTCTCATAATCATGTTTATTTTTCCTAATTGGCATTAATGTTCTTTTTTGATTGTTCAATAATTCTGGTTTGTGGGAATTAAAAAACCCACAAATAACGTCGCACTCAGCAGCATTCCAGCTATATGGCTGCGGTCTGTAAATAATCGAGTCTGTACCAGACAATCAAGGGATCAACACTATGAGCACCGTTCTACGCAATTGGGATGAAATGACATGTGTCAATCAAGTCAGCAAGCCTGACCACTGATCCCGTTAGTCTCCTCTTACGACAACATGGGTTTCTGAAGACCAATTCCAACCCGCATCTTAATGTAAGGGAATAATGAATGTGGTGACGTTATATACGGTCATGTTACGAGACTACTTGTGTTGTAAAAATAACGTGGACTGAATACAACAAATGTAACCACTTGAATATATCAAGAACTACCCTAACTTGTTATGAGTTGCGTTCTATATATATATTAGGTAGGATCCGGGTCCCCTCCTACCCCCACACCTACCCCACGCATACACGCACACACAACCCCCACCTCCTCCCATCCCTGACATCAAAACTACCTATACAATGCATTACCACTACCTGTATCGTACGCCACGTATGGTTCCTGGGACACCGTGATTTGCAAATCAAATATTTTATACATATCAATATATCAATCCTTCCGATAATTCTTATACAGGCGAACCTGTATGTATACGGGGTCTCTTCGTGCTTAACACTTATACTGTACATAAACTGTTCTTCCTGAATAACGGATCCTATCAGATGGACAGAAAGAGTTGATTCAGGATTCGGATTGTTCTACTTAGTGACCATCTCCGGTTTCTTTGAATTCGGATCGTGTGGGTATATAAAGCTAAACGGATCAATGGTGGTTACATAGCTGTAATTATTTTGGGGGGACAACGTACGCGTTTGGTATCACATACAACATAAATTACATAATATTAAGGTAAGATTCGATACTACGTTTTTGTTTATGATGATGATTATTACTGTTTGTTTGGTATCACATGCAAAATAAATGACATAATATTAAGGTAAGATCAGGTACTACGTTTTTGTTTATAATGATAATTATTACTGTATATTTGGTATCACATACAACATAAATTACATAATATTAAGGTAAGATCAGGTACTACGTTTTTGTTTATAATGATAATTATTACTGTATGTTTGGTATCACATACAACATAAATTACATAATATTAAGGTAAGATCAGGTACTACGTTTTTTGTTTATAATGATTATTATTACTGTATATTTGGTATCACATACAACATAAATTACATAATATTAAGGTAAGATCAGGTACTACGTTTTTTGTTTATAATGATTATTATTACTGTATATTTGGTATCACATACAACATAAATTACATAATATTAAGGTAAGATCAGGTACTACGTTTTGGTTTATGATGATTATTATTACTGTATATTTGGTATCAAATACAAGATAAATTACATATACTCATGCCAATAATGGTTGTCACCTCCTTCAATTCGTTTAATCGGAGAGGGGTGGGGTGGGGTGTGAGATATTATGTGGGTTGGGTGGGGAGGGGGTGACAACCATTATTGGCATGAGTATAGTATAAAGGTAAGATTCGATACTACGTTTTTGTTTATGATGATGATTATTATTGTATATTTCGTATCAAATATAAGATAAATTACAATATATTAAGGTAATTTCGATATTACCTTTTTGTTTGTGATGATTATTATTATTGTTATTATGTTACGTTGAAGTATCTACCATCATCGATGACATTCTAGCCCATATACTCATAATAAGGTTAGGATTTTCCTTGTCATAAACATTATCACCGTTATTCGTTATTGAATAGTCCTCCTGAGGGGGTACGTAAGTCCCAAAACTTTCAAAGTCAATTTAAGAGTACCAGGTTTTTAATCGTAGCATTCTTGTAATTTTAATTGTAGCTAACATTCCTTACAATCGCCAGCAGCTGAAGGGATGGTGTAAATCCAATTAGGGTCCATGCAGGTAGCCAAGGTACTGTAAGTCCCCATGGTCCCTAGTTTGGTGATCTACCTTCTGGTGTTGGCGATCTATAGCCCATTTTTACATTGTACTGTCTTCTTTCATAGGAATATTTTAGCTTTGTTTGCTAGTTTTATATTTTCATATCTGTGATTATCTATTATTTTTACTGTCCTTCGTCGGCAGGTTTTTATAATATCTATATATATATTCTATTTCTTACTGTCAAATGTTCTCGTCACGATATGGCTGAAATATTGCCGATGTGACGTTAAATATTAACTCACTCACTCACTCACATTATTGAATAAGTAACTCCATCGCTTCTCAGACCGATTGCTCCAATTCTATAGGATAACATAGCATACATGACTTTTCAGTTTTTACAATTTGTTTGGTGTGTATCAGCGTCTAGCACAATGTGTTATCTGCTTTATCGTATAATTACACAATATAAGGCCGTGGCTTCGTCGAAATGTGTCGATAGGGTAGGTTAAAGCGTCCGCTTGTCACACCGAAGATAGGGGTTCTATTCCCCACATGGGTACAATGTGTGAAACCCAATTCTGGTGTCCCTGAGGTGATATTGCGGAAATATTGCTAAAAGCGGCGTAAAACCATACTCACTCACTCATCGAAATTTCAGCAATGACTAAAATAAAATGGAATTTTATTGACATATATTTACCACGTACTAGTTAATGAGTTCACGAGACATATGTTCGAGCAACAAAAACCGTGTGACAGGTTGTCAGTCAGTCCTAGCACAAAGGTCCACATCATATGTTTGAGTTCATTTTCACTCATATTTCACGTCCAGTTTCATTAAAATCAAATCTTAATGCTGTTTAACGAGAGCGAACACAAAAGTCTGATTTTAATGAGATGAAAGTCACTACTGACACATTTACGCGTCAGTGATAAATGAATACTAGCATGTCATCACTTTCAAAGTGGATATGGGCGATGGCTCGTCACGCCGAAGACCCGGGTTCGAATACCCACATGGGTACAATGTGTGAAGCCCATTTCTGGTGTCCCCCGCCGTGATGTTGCTGGAATATTGCTAAAAGCGGCATAAAACCAAACTCAGTCAGTCAAAGTGGATATTGATATATTTCATGGATGTATATTTTCATTATGTTCATGAATATTTACCAAAAATATGATTTGTCGTTTTCATAATAAAATATTTTTAATTGATCATCAATTTACTGGTTGTTTTTATATTTTATCAAAGTTTATAGAGTGATTTTTATTCAACTTCTACACCAACGGCGTGCGACTCCTACAACTACAGGTCACGATATGGCTGAAATATTGCCGATGTAAATATTAACTCACTCATTCACCCTACAACAGCAACAATAACAAGCAACAACAACAACAACAACAACAACAACAACAACAACAACAACAACTACTACTACTACTACTACTACTACTACTACTACTACTACTACATGAATTACTCCGATATATGCTATCACCACTGAAGAACAAATATTATATTATTTTTCTTCTCTTATATCAGTTACCGCTATCGTACTCTAGTTATGTATTTCCCTAACCCTCTTCCCTGTTTGCAATTTGGTGCGTGTATTGCATATTGTTGACTGAGAGTTGTATTTCGTCATCGAGGATATTTGCGTTCATTCAAGAATCCATTAACCAATCAGCTCCCCTTTCAGGTTGACGTCACAGTGCAATCCGGTGTAGCGCGGGTTTACTAGTCTTGTCTGATCGAACCGACAACAGACCTCCTCGTTCGCATTCGTCGTGTTTTGGACTAAACCACAGTCTCAAGGATGGAAGAGGTGAGTACATTCTACTGATTGTATCAGCATCCCAAATGTCTGAAACACACTGAGAAATCTTGTGTTATTCATGCAACATCAGCCTATTTCTAAATATGACAACTCAAACCACGTTGGGCCTTGTCTCAAAACGAGCCAATAGATTGGAGGCGAAGTGACACACCTTCGCTTGACAAGTCAAACAGTTCTCTCGTCTTGTTTCCTCGATGTATTTGAGTACACATTTTGAATATTAGTATACAACTAATAATAAACCACAGCCTGTCCACGATATGCTGTAATAAGTTGTTTACCGTTAAATGTAATCCGATTCCGTTTGCCATTCCGCATTTTGAACGGTGAAGGTCATTTCGCTGATACACGCTCACAAATTGTTGTCTCGGATAAAGAATGACGCTGTTCTCCATCAGACTTCATTTTTCTATTACGCAGTGTTTATTTATTGTTTTATCACTTAACATTTTATGAGAAAAACATAAAGGGAACTGATCACTGACAAGAATTGTTCCCAAACAATGACTGGCTGCATTGGTAAACGCGTCAGTCTGCCACTCGACAGACAGTTTCTCTCAAGCACGTAAATGCTATTTCCAGTCTGTGCCTGTGATAGTGTTTCAGACATTGTATGTGTGTATATTTAACTAGAGAAACAAGTATTTTTAAAAATCGACACAAGTCACACATATGATCTTTTCTGTAGGCATTTAAGCAGCATATTTGTCAAGACAGTGCTCGGAAATGTATAGTATGATCTGCTAAAAATCATCGTTCAAAATATTTTTATCATATTCTGAGGACTGAAAATGATCAGTTTACCACATATTGCTATTACACCATGCTTACTTTATTTGTTAAGATCGTTATCATATTTAATTTGTATTTCAGTTACGAAAATATTCTGATGAATAGATGTAATAGTTTCACTGGATGTAGATTCTAACCAAATTGGGATTTAGAAGCAATATTGAAGAATTTGAAATAATGATTGTTTGCAAAGTTGACTGATTTCAAATGACAAATTACACTGCACTAGAAACAATTTTCTTCCATCTGAATTGTTAAAACGCAAATTGATGCTCTTTAATGCACAAAGGAATGCATGTGGTAATGTATTTATTATTTTCTCTAAGAATAGTTGACATTCAGTGCCCTTGAGTGTGTTTCTCTAGTCGAACCAATGAGCTCTTGAGATTAAGAACACACCTCCACATATTGTGGAAGTATCTTGTTCAAAGCTCCATGGTCACGCCTCGGTAACTCCACAATCAACATTCATCTACACAACTTGTCAAATGGTAGCCGCGTCATAAGACTTCATGAATGTTCTAATTATACTAATATACAGCTTTGAAGTTTAGTGTGTAATAGTATGTGTGACGAGCGCTGTGGCTGTTTGAAAAAGAACCCCTCGCTCATACCCAGCATTTCGACAACAACAAGGCCAGTACTTGGTGATGATGAAATACCTTGGCGAACTGCCAAACTCGTCTCGAGCCAGCTGCTGCGCAAAATCAATTCCCTTGCAACAAAGAGAGGTTTGGTCTGATCCTCGATTTTGATTGGTTGAAAGTGACACACCCTCACGTGCACACCCCCGGGATCAGAGAGTGCATGTCACATTGTGTGACTGTGACGCAAGCTCAATAAATGATCTTCTTTTTGAGTTATAGTTGAAGGATATATATTATTCTTTGCCAACCAGTCAACTATGGACAATATGTTTGTATTGATACAAATGTGTGGGTTTGGACTGACGACTGTTATGCTTCACTGAAGAAATTATATACGGTGGCCATCCAAATTTGATGTCACCATGCGTCAGCACAATTTTCTAAACATGAAATAAATTATAGATCGATCTCTCTCCCCTCAAACAACTTAAAATGAATTTTTAATAAGTCACATCAAAATCACTTTACCAATGAGGAAAATTTACACACACACCCCTCTGTGCCAGTCTCATGTAACAAATAGGCTGATATTTTTCATGGCATATTCAGAGCTTAATCAAGACCAATTGAATTCAATACTTTACATGAAGTGAATGAGTATATTGTTCGTGTTTAAACACATGTTAAAGGAAGTACTCTGCTACCAGGAAATGCTGCTTATCAGTAAACCTGATATGCCTCACGAAAGGAAGATACCTCAGAAATGTACAGAACACAAGTCTGTCGCCTTTACACTAGAGACTATAGTAAACGTGTATCCAACTGGCACAATGGACCATGTCTATAGATTTCCTTAGTTCCAGAAATTAGAATTTGTTTTGGGATCATATTTTACAATTTATTTTGTAAATATCAGCGTATATTGTTGAATGTACAAAGTTTGTTTCTAAGACTAAATGTTATAATAAATAGTGTACTGGTGACCTATATAGTAGAGATTGGTATGATATGAGTGAGTAAGTTTAGTTTTACGCCGCACTCAGCAATAGTCCCGCTATATGTCGGCGGTCTGTAAATAATTGAACCTGGACCAGACAATTCAGCGATCAACTGCATGAGCATCGACCTACGTAATATGGGATACGATGCCATGTGTCAACCAAGTCAGCTAGCCTGACCACCAGATCCCGTTAATCGCCTCTTACGATAAGCATAGATTTAATACTGAAGATCAATTCTAACCCGGACCTTCATGGGTGGTGTGATATGAAACACTATGGAGAGGGGTTTTAGCGTTTGTGATGTCATCCTGTGAACTCCATACTGTCATTGTTGTAAATCTGTGAATCATCGTGTAAATATTGCATCAGCAAGAAAAGGACGTGGTCACTTCCATTTAAGTCGATAAACTGATAAGGCTGACTGATTCACTGTCACGTCAGATCATCGATTCCTACAGTCAGACATAGACTTCGTTGCCCTCTTTAACAGTGGCTGTATTCACGTCGTTATGTTCATGTACATAATGTTGAATGTGCTTTGGACGCCGAGGTCATCGTAGATACTATGTATTGTACGACTGTTCCATTTTTCGCTTATTGGATAAATGAATTCTTTCCAAATATCTGATTTAAATCACATTTTTGTATGGTGACTTAACTCTACTTATGCGATATATTTCTGAGACGTTTTTGCAGCTTTGACATTCAGAAATAGAAGTGGTTAAGTAGTGTGATTGTATTAAAACGTTCGCTTGTGTAAAACGGGTTCGAATCTCTGTATTGACCAAATGTCAGCGTTCTTATTCCCCGACTCGAGCTGCAGAGTTAACATCGTTCAGAACGGATGCAACTGTAGGAAGTATGTTGACGTGGGCATTGATGCAACGAAGGCATTTAAAACTTGGACAAGTTGCCGTCATTTCTTAAACGAGTCTTGTGTCAATACGACTACTGCGCCCGGCTTTTTGCAACTGTCCCTGTGTGTTACGACGCTGACTTCTAAGTCAGCTCCAACAGGGTCGGTAGCTACATGCACAACGGTGATAATGTGAGGGAGGGAAGGGGCAGTCACAATGTGTTCAGCATCGTGTGTGCACGTCCCAGCAGAGGTCGACAATCAAACAAACGCCGGGTTGGATGTATTTGCACGACACATTTCTTGAATTCCCGCCGTGGTTCTGCGCCACACTGTTCTGTTTACACACTAGGTCACCGTCACCGAAAACGAGCGTTTTGGTGACATGATTCCCGAGGAGGTAATGCTGAAAGTGTCGCTGTTTCTCAAGGATGCTCAGCAATTTCCCATTTTCTATTTTTCACGTTGGTTCAGGCAGGGATAATCTACTACTTATAGTCTCCCTGGTTCAGGTAACCTTGTCGTAAGCACCATATCTCGGTATGCAGAGTTACGCCCCTTGGTCGGGCCAAAATCCGATGATCGTTGTCTCGGGTTCGAAATTCAGATTTAAGATTTTGTCAACCATATCCGTTTGTGGATTTCAACAAGTTATTAGTATATATCTATTAAAACCAATCAATCAACATGTTCCACAGTGGCGACCATCACAGCAGACAACCTGGTCAGTCAGAAAACAAAACGTATGACCTTAACAAAAATCAAATTCAACGAAAACTGCAGCTTACGGTGATCGAAAAACGCCAAGTGTACAAGGAGAGTACGTCTTGCTATATAGTCATGAGGCAGAAGCACTTGTACACGTACATATCCCGATCTCCCACTAAATACCGATGCTATAAATAATCAATAATTGCAACTCGGACTCCTCCAAATACCACAAACGCCACTGATGTGTGTGAATACATTGTAAATAGAACACGTCTCAATTTGTAACATCTGGCGTGGTGGTTTTTGAAATCTGTCGGGAGATCCCAAACATCGTTAGCAGTCGTGCCATTCCGGATTGAGACGAGGCAAACTAACGCCAGATATTTATCAGAGTGTATGTTTTCCGGCGTTCATGCAAGCATATGTTAAGTGCAGTTTTATTAGAAATCCCGCCATCTAATTACAAGCCATTAGCTTGTAAGTTGCGTCGCGATGCAGCGATATTTATAGATAACCTCGTCTGGCTGAAGGTTACTTTCGTTGAAGGTCGTTTCATAAAAACGTAGGAATGTCTGTACATTTGTTTGGTAGAAATTGTTATGGGTTAAGCAATATGTATTAATCAGAACACCATTTACAAAACAATAATTCAATTTAATTACGTTGTTCGGCAATCAGAGACCAGATGGTGCCGTGTTACCATTCTGACGTGGCCACATTTCCATAAATCAATTTTACTTCACTGTGTGTTCAGTGTATTGATTTTACAACAAAAATGTCTGCCTGTTTAGCACTAATACGACATGTACGGGAGAATGATTTTTCCCGGACGATAGGTTTGTGTCGTTCTTTAACCCCGTAGTCAGCAATATTCCAGATGTATGGAGGCTGTCTGTAAATAATGAGTCGGGACAATTCAGTGATCAACAGCATGAGCATCGATCTACGCAACTGGGATACGATGACATGTGTCAACCAGCAGCGAGCCTGACCACCCGATCCCGTTAGTCTCCCCCCTTAAGACAAGCATGGGTTGCTGAAAAACAATTCTAACACGGATCTTAACGGGTGTCCTAGACAATATGAGAATGTATCGCTGATACGAACACTAATCAATCACTAGATAACTAATTCGTGGTCCAGTGGAATACAATGATTTACATGTAGTCCTGACATTGTCTATCAGGGCAAGCTGAACGAGTGAAATCCATTAGATGTTTCCCTATTTAATTCCATTTCGATTTCTTTCAAATTCACTGATGCGACCAAACGTTTGCAACGTGTGTATATTATACGGTGCTTCTCACAATGCGTGGTTTGTTCATGGCACTGGCAATCGGTTAACGCCGCCATGACAGTATCTCTTACAATTCAGACAACGTTTATTTTGTATTCATGTTCTGGTGCGTAATGACAAATGTTAGTAGGGCATACAGATTAACTTATGGATTCTTAGGGTATTCTGGATCATTTCACGGACACGTGAAGCATCGTGGATAGTCTAAGGGCGATAACTCTCATAATTCCCAGACGTTTAAAAATCGACATTTGTGCATCAGCGAAATCACCGTTGCCATGGCAAATACACGCATGCTTTAGAAAGTAATCGTATCAACGATTAAAATATCAGATTAAAATATTAGTGCTTGCAATTAATGTCTTAGAAATGGAAAATAGCTGACGAGTTCTTTGGGTTTTTTTTGTTTCAGAGAGAAGTGAATTACACCTTCACCCTTATCTTCAGTATAACAATTGCCGTGTTTGGCAACTCGTTCCTGTATGGATATCAGATAGGCGTTGTCAACACGCCGTCCCACGTGAGTGTTTCTTCTTCAGTTTAAGACAGGAAAGGCTTGTTATTTTTGAAAGCATTAGAAAAAGTTTGATAAATAAATAAATATCATTGACATGTCTATATATCGTAATGAACGACTAAGACTGTGTCAGAATGTGTGGTTAGATTAATCACGAACCTCTAGATAACTGTCTCAAAATGTATTGATGTTTTACCATGCATGTGTACACCAAACATGCGTCCACCGTAAAAGTCTGTGGGTAACGCGTTTGCTCATCGCAGGGAAGGCCTGGGTTCTAGTCTCTATTTGGATACGACGTCGGAAGCATATTTCTGGTTTCCCTAGCCGAGAGCCGCGATACGGTCATTTCTAACATGCCTAGCTGTTAGAACAATCGAAAAAAAAATACATTATGAGACAATAAAGGTATAGTTTTTTGATGACGTAACAATTGAATGACGTTATCCCGTCACTGCGCCATTCTAGTGTGCCCCCTCGTAATCGAATTATTTTACATTACGTCACAATGTAAGTGACGTCACGATGCATGTCAGTTGTCATCGCCTCGTACGGCCTCCTACAGTAAACTACTCCGTTGCATCCCGTTTCTTGCTTTGCAGTTGCTTCACGCAGCTAACATCACTGGTGGAAACATTACGTTTATGTTTTCCGACGGTTAAAATGTCTCAATTCGACTCACAAGTTTTCAGCGACACGGTAACGTTCGCAATGTTTACATTCCCACAATGCAATCGTGGAATGTCGCTTGACTACTCCGCTTCATCTGGATGTACTGATCTAAACTTACGTTGGTAGAAGAAATGCGACGTTGATATTGCCCCATATGGTTTACGTTAAGGACAGATGTAATTAAAATAATTCAGAGAAGATATTTAATCCGAACGTAAACCGTCATCAAACTGTTATCATTTGTTTTTTTCTGGTAACGTTCGTCTTAACGTAGGGGGCAGACACATCAATAGAACAGCGCACCAGTTAGCCCTGTGCGAGGATTCTTAATTTAGGTCACCGACACCGTCATTTGTTTTCTGCCTTAAATTAATCGTAATTATCCTTAGAAAGTATTAAATTTAGCATCTTAGAAAGATGTAAGTTCGCTCTACCCCAATGTGTTTTGTAATAAAAGTATAGTTTTGCCCTGAACTATTATAACATCAAAGCACTCGGACTACCGTCCTCGTGCTTTAATTATAATAGTTCAGGGCAAAACTATACTTTATTACAAAACACATTGGGGTAGAGCGAACTTTATTTCTTAAATACAGTCCAGATGCAGGGTCATGTCTTGACTGTATAGGACCGCATCGCGGCTCTCGGCTATGGTTTCCCCAACCGTGATATTCCTGGAAGAAATGGAGTAAAAAATTACTCTACACCATAAAGTCTGTTTTTGTATTTGAAATAGGCACAGTCTTTTGTGATAGTTCTCAATTTTCATGGTTTAATCATCTCAGTGTTCCGTACAGTGATAAATCAATTTTTCAGATAATTCAAGATTTTTACAATGCCACCTATTACGAGAGAAGGGGAGGTAACTGGAGCAACGTTCAAGCATATGCTTCGTATCGAGACAGCCTCAACAAGTCAATAACTGACACTGTCAATGCATCAACAACTCCAGGGCCAGCTGAAAAAACGCCAGCTGATTTCGGGGTAGACGAGTCTCTCCTGCTTGAGAAATGGGAGCTTGAACTCCTTTGGTCTTCGACTGTCGCTGCCTTTGTTTTGTTTGGAATGGTTGGTGCATTCCTGGCACTTAAAGTTGCTGACACCGTTGGAAGGTAAGAAGGAATTGTTTAGGGATTTAGATTGTATAGATTTGGTGGGCAAATTTGAAAAGAATAATTGTTATTTTGTTGAAAGTACTTTTCTTAATTTCATCTCTCTCTTTTTTTATCATGTTTAAAATACTGCCCAGATGATTCTATAAATACTTGGTTTGGGGTTTTGTAAAATTGTGAAATTTCAGATTTGTGTTTTTGTTACCATGGCTACCAACTTGCTAAAATGTTTAAGGACAAAATTATCAGATTAGGAATTAACACTTCCATTACCAAGTATTTATCAGGGTTATGTATGATGGGTCACAGGTTGTTAACATCTTGTATGGCTCAAGCTACAAAATGTGGGTTCCAGAGAAATGTTAATATAATTATAACTAATGCATTCGTGACATGTGATTTTGCACGAGTAAGATATCATTCAAATGGCAAGTGGGGCAGTGGGTTCGATTCCCCACATTGGTACAGTGTGTGAAGCCAATCTTTGGTGTGCCCGGCCGTGATGTTGCTGGAATATTGCTAAAACCATACTCACTCATTCAAAATTACAGGGGTTCTAGCCAACGTCTGGGGATCCTTGATGTTATATAACTGTCTAGGGTCATGCCTCACAGAACTTATTCCCTTTTTAACACTCTTGTTGTATTTCTGTTACAGAAAGCGTGGCATGGTCGTCATCACCTTCATCATGTTCATTGCTGCAATTCTCGGTGGAATAACAGTCATCGCCAAGTCTCCTGAGTGTCTCATTTTGTCTCGAGTCTTGGTTGGCTTGCATTCTGGGTTAAATATAACCTTGGCGCCTCTGTATCTCACAGAAATAGCGCCGAAGAAAATCCGTGGCGCTGTTGGCACTTGTCATCAGCTGGCCATCACGGTGGGAATTCTGTTCTCTCAAATCCTGGGAATGGCAGAACTCCTAGGTAATCATATTAGTAATTGAATTCTTTATTTGTTTTTAATGAAACCACATCAAAATCTTTATTGGGTAATTTCTGATTAGAAACAGCGGCACTGTACTGTTTCGAAATTAAAGTTTGATATGGCAAGTGGAGACTCTTGTCCTTGTGGCATGCGCCGTGCCGTGCCATTGTATTGTATCTACTTGCTAAAGCTTTGAATTTACTTCCCTTTTGGTAGCTATTGGTTTTATTATTGACTGTTTTGAGATGATGTCCTCTACACAAATTTTGTAAGATTCTATCCTGTCAGTCTGGTAAGCGTTGTGTAGATTGACAAAGTTTCACATTTAATGGCTTCCTATTATCATTCTTGCCCAGGAATATTAGAATTATACTGGATCAAAGAACCCAAAAATATCAAAGACAATCACATATCCAGTTTAAACACGCAGTTTAAGTTCAGTGCCGCTCTTTGTTCCAGACATCCGTCAAGATCTGGGTGTCTTCAGCCACCCATGCTTGTCATAAGAGGCGACTTACGAGATCGAGTGGTCAGGCTTTCTGACTTGGTTGACACTTATCATCGTATCCTGATTGCATAGATCAATATTTCTGCTGTTAATCACTGCATTGTCTGGTCTTACAGACCAACGCCATATAGCTGGAATTATTGCTGAGTCCAGCGTTAAACAACAAACAAATCCAAATAAAAAATTGCTCCAGACATACCACCCTCCTTCACCTTTTAAAGGATATATTATTTCCATTTCCAGTTTACTCTTTGTTTCATTGTCACAGTGTGGTGTTATGTTTGTTTCAGGAACCGCTGACTTGTGGCCGCTGTTGTTTGCCTTCAATGTCATCCCCTCCCTCGTCTGTGTGGTGGTATTGCCCTTCTGCCCGGAGAGTCCAAGATGGCTGCTCATCTCCAAAAACATGGAAGAGGAAACCAAATTGGGTGAGTTATCTCCCTTGGACATTGATAAGTCTATGATATTCTCTCTTCAGCATTTTTCATACCTTTTAATAACACTAATGTTAAAATTGTAAGATGTAAGGGGGCCCTAGATTCTATATAGTTGGAAACCTCAAGTACCCTGTCTTGTGTTAAAGGTGGGTACCGTTATCTATCAGTGTGCCAGGAACGTCCTGCTGTTGTAATTAGTGATATGTGTGAAACTGAGACATTGTTTCAGACAGGCAATTAATTAATTAATATCTCTTACAGTTACAAATTGATACATATATCTTTGCAACATCTTGGGTGTCAATGTTTCTTGTTAAGCTTAAGGCCAGACCAATTTTGTTTCTTGTTTTACAGATTTTTGTTGAAAAATATAAAACATAAAAAGTCAAAGTATTATTTCTTTTGCATACTAAAAGTATTTTATTTTTGGCAAGTTATGAAGTGTATATGGGGCAAAAAACAATGAAAAATATTTTATTTTTCCTTATCCTGACTCATGCTATTTTGCTTGTCTTCTTCTTCTTGCGAACACAGTGGAACACTTGTATCTCCTAATGTAAGCTCCCTTCAATGTAAAATCACTAATTAGTACTCACCAAGAGTTGTCTCCTTCCCAACCATTTGCGCGGGAACGAGGGCGCCACCTCCCGCCACATGCCTCACTCTCTCCTTCGCCCAGTGAGCAGGATGTGAGAGCGCCTGTGTCTCCCTACACATTATATCCTTTGTTTATTCTTAGTTATTTACCTCTCATAGACTTCTATAGAGGTGTAGCTAGTATCCTTCAACATAATGCATTGATATTTATTCGTGTTTCTACTGTTTTATTCACGGGACTCCGTGTTTGTTCAGTAGATTGCGTTGATGAAAATCTGCACTATTTGTAAATTACGTTTTTCTGCTGCTGACCCACATTTAATATGCCCTAGTTGTACTACGCTCCGCGTAGGGTGACCCAGCCCGCTTACACGCCTCCACGAAGGGCGACCCAGCCCGCCTCCAAGCCTCCGCGAAGGGCGACCCAGCCCACCTCCACGAAGGACCCTGATCCTCAGCATTCACGGAAGGCTTCACGGAGGACGACTATATCACCTACCTCGGACCTTGATGAGAGAGGACGTTCGCGAAGCAAGATCCTCTCATCCCATGACTCCGACTCAGACTCTCAACCTTCACGAAGGCCTTGACAAAGGTTAAGTGGCTCCAAGTCATCCTCATCTAGAAGATCATCAAGGGATTCACCGAGAGCTTCGCGAAGCTACCAGCGTTCGCCAAGGAAGTCTCCGTGTAGGTCACCTTATAGACGCCACTCGTCAGTCCGTTCACCACGTTATTCTGCTCGCCGATCTCCATATCGATCCCCTCATCGATCACCTCGTCGATCCACGCAGTCACTATCGGAGGAGCATCAACACATTATCTGTGACCCGATGTCTGAAGATGGAGATGGTATCGTATTTTCCGACGCAGAAATAAGATATTGGATGGTGAATAGTCTGGAACTATCCTCCCGTCTAAGAAGCGAGAACTCAGCCCACACATATCTTATGAAGGAAGATGATGCTGACACAATCACCTTACCTCCGATTGACCCGATAGCAGCGGTGCCAGCTAATCTGGATACAGCCTTTAGTAAAGCCACGAAATCACAGACACCACATGTGCGCATTTCAAGCTAAGAAGTTTGCAGGTCACAACATGGACTCTTTTACAAGGCACAAGATATCGATGATAACTATAAGATGATCAGCGATGCCAAGTCCAAGACTTACAGAATAGATGACCGCAAGCTAGTCCAGATGGAAACCATGGCAAGGAGGATGTTCTTTGGTCTGAACAGGTCAAGAACAGTCAAGCGAAACTCTCCTCACGAAGTTCAGAGACTCTACATCTGAGGGCGACAGGATGAATTACTCGCCCCCTCCTCATGCAGAAGAAGGACCAGCAGTTCCTAGCGGATCACTTGACAGCACTATCGCAGCTATAACTATGGCTGCGTCATCAAGGTCTCCTAAGCCTCCTGTAATTGGGGTGATAACTTCACCGCATCACTTTACACAGCCCCGTGGTCATCACCGTCAATCTTCGATGGAAGCATAGACAGAGTCTCTAAAGAAGTCTCTAAAGACTCAAGAGAGGTACTCATGATAAAGTCTATGGATATGCTAGCAAGCGTCATCAGACAAACTTCGCAGAGGTACTCAGGCAAATCGAAGTTCTCCGGTCTACAGAAAGCAGGGGAAAGGAAGATGGCAAGTGTAGGAGGAGCAAAAGAGTCTTTTTGTCGCCCATACGGCAATTACAGGGGAGGATCTGGAAGAGGCAGGTCATCCAGAGGCTCCCGCAACTATAAACGATATAGGACAGGTTCGGAACGACTGGAGTCTTCCACCCCCAGCCATTTCAGTACAACCATCACAAGTGGGTGGACGCCTTCAACTGCACTGGGAAAACTGGGGATTCCTAGAGGATCCATATGTCTCCAACATCCTACAGCACGGATGCTCGAATACAACTACAGGCCCGCCCCGCTGACAGTCATCCCTCCGAGGTTCGAGTTCCAGGCTCTACAACTACCCAAGTTAAGAGAAGCGGTATCAACGCTCCTAACCAAGCAGGCCATAGAAGTACTGGACCAAGTAAACATCGAACCAGGCTTCTACTCCCCAGTTTTCCTAGTGCCCAAGAAAAATTCCAAGGAAAAGTTTAGATCTCATCTACAATATGAGCGCGTTCAGCAGAGACTATCATAAAACCGCCAGCGTTTGCATGATACACCTACCACAACTCACTGACACTTAATTCGTCCCAGAGACTACATGGCCAGAAAAGATCTGCAAGACGCATATTTACACATCCCAATACATCCTGACTCCAGGAAATACCTTCGGTTTGCACTAGACGGGCTGCATTACCAATGGAAAGTACTACCTTTCGGAATCTCATCGGCCCCCTGGTTATTCACAAGAGTGACGAAACCTATCGTCTCTTACCTACATCGTCAAGGACTATGCAGTGCGTTCTATCTCGACGACGGGATACAAGTGGATCCAGATCCACAGCGTCTCAGAGTACAGTTAAACTTCATCATCAAGCTACTAACACAGCTAGGATGGTTAGTAAATCTACTCAAGTCGGACCTAGAACCTAAGCAAGATCTGCAATTTCTAGGCATTCGATTTCTCCGGTAGCAGAATCGTATCGTCGTGCGAGGAGGACCGATGGATCAAGATCAACAGACAATCCCTCAAGCCTTACTCTCTCCGCTACCACTACGACAATGGCAGAGCCTGTTGGGTCTACTCACGTCAGCTCAAGACATGACAGTCAGAGGCAGACTACAGCTACGTCCGTTACAGGTCCTCATCAACTCTCATCTCGGCGACCCTCAACCATTCAGTTTGCGAATCACGTCAAACCTCACCTACTATGGTGGACCAAGAGATCGAATGTTTGCGATGGAATCTTTTAATAGAGCGGAATTGAAAACACATCTCTATGTAGGCGCGTACCGCTCCAAGGTTGGGGAGCACACCTCGCCAAAAGGGGCGGCATCAGGGTTATGGAGCCAACAAGAGAGCAAACTACACATAAACTTGCTAGAAATGCAAGCAGTAGTAAACGCCATACATCATTGGAGCAACTTACTAAAGAATGCCCAATTGATGATTCACACAGACAATTCAACAGTGGCGTTTTATGTGAACAAACAAGGCTCAACCAGGTCCCCGAACCTATTGACTCTATGTTTTCAATTGTTCGATCTAATCGACAATCTCAACATACATGTCAGAGCATGTCACATTCCAGGAGCAAAGAATGTAATAGCAGACGCTCTCTCTCGGCCACACCTACCATCGCCGACAGAATGGATGCTCCATACAGAGATATTCGCACAAATTATCAAGAAAATAGGAGCTCCACTAATAGACCTATTTGCCACTTTCGCTTCAACAATCAGCTGACAACATTTGTATCACCAGTCCCAGACCCACTAGCATGGGCAGCGGACGCACTAAGCATATCGTGGGAAGGACTCAACGCGTCGTTGCCTCGCCACCAGCGTTAATCCCACAGGTGTTACAGAAAATCAAGCAAACTTCGAGACCTCCAAATGATTTTGGTCGCCCTACTGGCCAGCGAGCGTGGTTTCCAACTCTTATTCAAGAAATCGGACAACCAATACTACAACTTCCAAAGCGCTCGAATCTACTAATACACCTCACACCAAACAAATGCGGAAAGCCAGAAGCATTCCAACTTCACGTATGGACTGTATTAAAGTGTCTAAACAAGAGAGGTTATTCAGCCAGGCGAAAAGCAGTCACGCTTTGCCTTACGCAACTCCACTCGCATGGCATGCGATGACAAGTGGCACAGTTTTGAAAATTATGCTGCAAAGAAAGGATTTACAGCTAGATATGCTACACATCCACAAGTGGCTGACTACTTATGTTACCTACGAGAGACTAAACGTCTAAAAGGCTCAACATATCTCGCAGCTTTAAGCTCTGTCATAACTATGAGAACGGGTGTCAAGTTGACGAAGACCCCAGAGTTACTGGCCTTACTACGTGCATTCTGATTGGAAGATCAGAAACAGAGATTTCGCGCTCCAGCATGGGATCTAAATATAGTGCTCCAACACCTCACAAGTGAGGCATATGAACCACTGAAATCAACATCATTCGAATTTTTGACACAGAAAACTTTGTTCCTGTTATCCCTAGCAACAGCAGCCAGGATGTCAGAGATTCACGCACTAGATTACGAGAGAACACGCTTTGATGACAATCATAACATCGTGCATATGGGACTACGGCTGGGATTTCATCGCCAAGAACCAGTTGCCAGGTCAACCAGACAGATTATTCCGTCCCAGCTCTCTCATCAATTCTCGGACCTCATGATACACTGGATCTATCATTATGCCCAGTCAGAGCACTGAAAATATATCACTGGCGATCCAAACCGGTGACAAAAACTCAAGCGATTATTCATCCCTCTATCGACAGCTACACAGACTGAAGTCTCACGTTACAAGTATCTCGATATGGATCAGAACTGTCATACTACGCGCCTACAAGGCTGCAGGACTCGACCCTCCAAGAGCATCTAATCCACATGAAATTAGAGAGCTAGCTTCAACACTTGCTCTACATGGCAATTGCTCTTTGAATATCGTCATGGAGGGCTGCTTCTGGAGATCCGATATGGTGTATTTGCAAACCACTATCTGAGAGATATCACCACCGAGGACGTCTCAGGTATTCACCATTTCGGTCCCATGGTCCTCGCACAGCAGTTGACAGTCCCTCGGAGAAGATAAGTCAATCTTACGAGATTTTTACTGCTTATTTCACAACAGTACTATATAGCTAATAACTCCACGAAGTTTATGCTATTATATATTTTAGCTTAAGTCCAATCATAATCTTAAGCTCAGTACTATGTCTGTTATATCATAACAGTATCATTAGCTAACAACTCTATGAAGTTTATGCTATTATATTATCAAGCTTAAGTCTATCTTAGTCTTAAGCCTAGTATTCATGTTGTAAATACTTATTTATGTTTATCATAATATCTATATATTGTAGTAACCCATATATGGCAGCTGATAAGTTTAACAGCAGGAATTTATCAATTCAGTGCCTTTATGAAGTTCCCATAGGGGTTATTACAGTTATTACAGTTATCAAATCACTAATTATCTAAATCCAAAGTATTCTGTATTCCCACCTCCGTATCCGTAGGATTCTACAAGCAAAATAGCATGAGTCAGGATAAGGAAAAATATGTAATTTTCTGAATAAAATTGATATTTTATACTTATCCTGACTCATGAGGTAAGCCCTCCCATCCTCCCCACATAACACTTTGGATTTCCCTGAAAATTCAAGTGTTGGGCTCGCTATATAAGGAGAGAGTGAGGCATGTGGCGGGAGGTGGCGCCCTCGTTCCCGCGCAAATGGTTGGGAAGGAGACAACTCTTGGTGAGTACTAATTAGTGATTTTACATTGAAGGGAGCTTCCATTGGGAGATACAAGTGTTCCACTGTGTTCGCAAGAAGAAGAAGACAAGCAAAATAGCATGAGTCAGGATAAGTATAAAATATCAATTTTATTCAGAAAATTACATTTTTGTAAATTTACTTCTTTGCCAATAAAAACATGAGGATTTTATTTTTGGCGTGGGGAAAATTAATTTTTATTTTTTTCTTATTCTTGAAAAAATACGATCAGCGGATCTGTAAAACAAGAAATAAAATTGGTCTGGCCTAAAGGTCACATGCAACCAAAAAATATAGACATAATTAAAACATCAAATGAACCAGCCTAACGAAGACATTTTTGTGTATAACATTTTGCACAATACCATGTCATGTGTACAAGTATCACACCTGCCTGTCTGTGTAATTACATAATGTGACAGAGACAGAACTCTGGTGCACGAGTCATAAATCAATGCGTTTTGTTTATGGTGTATGGCCTGATAGGTGTTAGTTCAAATTGCGTGTGGTCAGTGATCGAAGTTGTGTATTGCATATTGTCATTAGCAGACAGGCTGACACATTTTCACTTCGCATGCGCCATGAGCACAGCGCAGCACAGCACAGCACAACACAGCTGTTGAAACCACTTTCACCCCAGCTGGGGAGAATTTAGTGAATCGTTTGAACTCCGATTTTGCGTGGGGGGTTTCATCGCGTTATTTTTCAACTTTATAAGTTGAATTTGCATTTTGATCATTTGTTACTGTAAGTCCATACTGAAAGGTATCAGAATCTGCAAAGTTGTGTGTTACGTTGCATGTGAATTTAAGTCTGATTTCACAGGGCAATGTTTTACGAATGTTTTTGGTAACAAAGTTTCATAAATTACACCATAAGGTATTCTGATATTGGCCAATTATATCATAAATCACATGGAAAATTTGATTAAACGTTTGTTTCAAATTTCGACAGCCATGCAGAAGCTGCGAGGCTATGATAATGTAGAAGATGAGATCGATGAGATGAGGATGGAAGCGAAAAAGTCTGGGAATGCTAAGAACTTCACCCTGAAGGAACTCCTGACCACCCACGACCTCAGGATGCCAACACTGATAGCCTGTGTAGGACAAGTCAGCCAGCAGTGGTCAGGCATCAATGCTGTAAGTCAGATAGATGGAAAGGTGGAAAGATGTGGTGAGTGAGTGAGTGAGTGAGTAAGGGGGAGGAGGGATTGGATTTCTGACGTCAATGCTGTAAGTCAGATAGATGGAAAGGTGGAAAGATGTGGTGAGTGAGTGAGTGAGTGAGGGGGAGGAGGGATTGGATTTCTGACATCAATGCTGTAAGAAAATAGATGGAAAGGTGGAAAGATGTGGTGAGTGAGTGAGTGAGTGAGTAAGGGGGAGGAGGGATTGGATTTCTGACGTCAATGCTGTAAGTCAGATAGATGGAAAGGTGGAAAGATGTGGTGAGTGAGTGAGTGAGTAAGGGGGAGGAGGGATTGGATTTCTGACATCAATGCTGTAAGAAAAATAGATGGAAAGGTGGAAAGATGTGGTGAGTGAGTGAGTGAGTGAGTAAGGGGGAGGAGGGATTGGATTTCTGACATCAATGCTGTAAGTCAGATAGATGGAAAGGTGGAAAGATGTGGTAAAGAGTGAGTGAGTGAGGGGGAGGAGGGATTGGATTTCTGACATCAATGCTGTAAGTCAGATAGATGGAAAGGTGGAAAGATGTGGTGAGTGAGTGAGTAAGGGGGAGGAGGGATTGGATTTCTGATATCAATGCTGTAAGTCAGATAGATGGAAAGGTGGAAAGATGTGGTGAGTGAGTGAGTGAGTGAGTAAGGGGAGGAGGATTGGATTTCTGACGCGTCAATGCTGTAAGTCAGATAGATGGAAAGGTGGAAAGATGTGGTGAGTGAGTAAGGGGGAGGAGGGATTGGATTTCTGACATCAATGCTGTAAGACAAATAGATGGAAAGGTGGAAAGATGTGGTGAGTGAGTAAGGGGGAGGAGGGATTGGATTTCTGACATCAATGCTGTAAGACAAATAGATGGAAAGGTGGAAAGATGTGGTGAGTGAGTGAGTGAGTGAGTAAGGGGGAGGAGGGATTGGATTTCTGACATCAATGCTGTAAGTCAGATAGATGGAAAGGTGGAAAGATGTGGTGAGTGAGTGAGTGAGTGAGTAAGGGGGAGGAGGGATTGGATTTCTGACATCAATGCTGTAAGTCAGATAGATGGAAAGGTGGAAAGATGTGGTGAGTGAGTGAGTGAGTGAGTAAGGGGGAGGAGGGATTGGATTTCTGACATCAATGCTGTAAGACAAATAGGTGGGTACCTGAGGAGAGACTGAAGGGACGATGTGACGTGAGTGAGTGAGGGGAGGGCAGGCAGGGAGGCAGGAGACAGGCAGTGAGTGAGGGAGGGAGGGGACAGGCAGTGAGTGAGTGAGTGAGGGAGGGAGGGTTAGGGAGGGAGGAGACAGGAGTCAGGCAGTGAGTGAGTGAGGGAGGGGTTGGCAGGAGACAGGCAGTGAGTGAGGGAGGGGAGGTCTGGCATCAGTGCTGTAAGTTAATTGTCCACAGTGACTTGTGACAAGGAGAGAGGGGTGCATGCTGCTAGTGAATATTAGAAAACATACAAACACAAAGGTGAATTGTCCCTGATAATATTCACATATATTGAACAAATGGCATTGTGCATCTAGCTTTAGTAGTGACTAAGTTCCATGTCTTTTAATCTGCAGGTGATGTCTTACTCCGCCTTCATTTTTGCCCAAGCAAATGTCTCGGCAACAAATATCCCCTACGTCATTGTCGGCACTGGATTCGTCAACGTTGTTGCAACCATCATCGCCGTAAGTAAACTTCTTGCTACACCTGAACAGACTTCTTCAGTGGTGGAGTTAGGATGACTTGTCCATTTCTTTAATATGAGGGGTGGTGGGATAGCCCGAAGGTTAAAACGTTCGCTTGTCAGGCTGAAGACCCGGGTTTGATTCCCCACATAGGTACAATGTGTGAAGCCCATTTCTGGTGTACCCGCCATGATATTGCTGGAACATTGCTAAAAGCGATGTAAACTAAACTCGCTCTCTCACTCTTTAATATGACTTTCTAACAACTGAAGATAGCACACCAAAAAATCTTATATCTAACAAGTCATAGATTTTTCATCAAAGAATATATCCCTTCAAACGTTAAAAGTGGTGTGTCTTCTGAAATAAAAGTAATATTTGTTTGTTAGATCAGTTGAAGGTGTAAGGAAATGATTTGTTTATACCATAACAATGTTTGATTGCATTCATGTTGTGGATAACTTGAACAATCTGTGACTTGCAGGTTCCTTTGATGGAGAAGTTAGGACGTCGTCCGTTGCTGCTGTGGCCAATGTGTGTCATGGCTGGGTCCTTTGTGCTCATGACCGTCTTCCTGCAGCTGCAGTTCGATCCTTCACTTAAGGTAAGTCGTGTCGTATCTTGTCGCGTCATGTCATGTCATGTCGTGTCGCGTTGTGTTGTAGCGTGTCGTGTTGTCCATATGTAGCCTAAAACAATTAAACTGTCCTTAATCAAGTGACCCGTGAAGATCCAGTTAGGCTTGGTCTTGAACAACCCTTGCTTGTTGTAAGAGGCGACTAACGGGATCGGGTGGTCAGCCTTGCTGACTTGGTTGACACATGTCATCGGTTCCCAATTGCGCAGATCGATGTACATGATGTTGATCACTGAATTGTCTGGTCCAGACTCGATTATTTACAGACTGCCGCCATATAGCTGGAATATTGCTGTGTGCGGCATTGTATTCCAGTTGCGTAGATTGATGCTCACCATGTCAATCACTGGATTTTCTGACACACACTCAATTATTCCCGGATCGACACCATATAGCTGGAATATCGCTGTCTGTGGCGTTAAACAATAAATATATAAACTGTGGTCATGTAAAATTCAAACGATGGTATTGACTAGAAGATTATAATGTGGAACCAGTTCTCAATGCCTCAATTGTTCTACTAATTTGAACTGTGTAAACGTGATGGAATATGTGAAAATTTCACACCTTTTGTCTTGTTCAAGCAGGACTAGTCACAAACTAGGAGAACTACTGAAATGAGGCTTAGACGTATCCTTAGTTGTCTTTGGAAGAATTTCTGAGGCTGGTTAAGTCATGTCCAATTTCTTGTGAGACATTGTGTTGTATCCAAGCATTAAAATACAAACTCTTAATCAGCTTTTTTTGACACTCAACTGGCAAAGGTAGATCAGAATTTCCAAGATCTAATTTCTGTTTTCAGGACAGCCATGCAACGTTCGCTATGATCTGCATTGTTCTCATGCATCTGTACATCGTGGGATTCGCCCTTGGTCTTGGTTAGTTTTTGTGTTTGCTTAGTACTTGAACAACTTCAATCATGTCTTCTGTGTACACACTACACAGCTCCAATTGCCCTGTATTGGGAGTTGTATGACATCAAAAAGTCCTTGTAAGTTATTGACAGAAATTCACATTGTCAAAGATAATATATTGAATAAGATATAAAAATGTACTGTATTTTATTATTATTTAATAGGTTGTATATTGCTGACATCATAATGAAAGGGTGTACAGCACAATGAAGTTTAAACTGACATTTACAAAGCTGGATATTTTGCAGTTCAAAATATTATTTTCCAATTTTTAAGTGTTTTATCTTACATGGTGAACCTGTCTAACCAGTCTATGACAAATGTGGAATAAATGAAACTGTTTGGGATTAGCCAGCAGTCTTGTATTCAGTCCCTGATGTTATCATCCAGTTTTTCCCACATGGGCACAATGGTGTCCCCTGCTGTGATATTGCTGGAAAATTTCTAAAAGCGGCATAAAACTAAACTCAGTCAGTCAGTATCATCCAGTTTTAACCTTAATCCCTCACCATAACTGTGCAATGTTCTAGGCCCCATCCCATTCACCATTGTTGCTGAGATCTTCAGACAGGAATCTCGTGACGCCGCCATGAGTCTCTCCGTTGCCTGCAACTGGATCTGCAACTTCATCCTCATGTGGACATTTCCGTTCCTCAGGGTAGGTAGCAGGAATCGTGCAGATGTGGAATACGTCATTATTCCAAGAATATTCTGGCCATTGGGAAAGTCTGTGTCCCAAAACATAATCGGTATCAGGTGTCAAATTTCCTTCATGTAGATTGGATATGGGGTTTTGATAGTCAGTTCTTCATGCAGAAAATTGATTAAGGCAGTGAAAGATCTTATTTTAAGGAGATTGTTTTAAATGGACACTACAGTCAGTTGACCACCATGACAAAAGTCATTCAAGATTTATTTTGCTTATATTTCATTTTTTCCCCCCCGCCATATATGCAACCTCATGGATGCAACCTCGTCTAGTGTTTTGAGGATGGGCATTAGTACTGAAATTATTTGTTCAATTATAATGACCCACATTCATATGTTTGTTGTAGGATGGACTTGAGGCCTACACCTACCTGCTGTTTGTTGTCATTCTGGTTGCTGCCATTATCTTCATCTTCTTCTTTGTCCCGGAGACGAAGAACAAGACTTTTGATGAAATTGCTAGCTCCATCGCCCTAGGGAGAGCTCAGGGAAAGAGTCGTGGGTTCAAAGTCAATGAAGATGAAAGCCTAATGGGAACGGGGACCACCAAAGTTTGAGAACAGCAGAGTATAGATCATTGGAATATATATAGTATACTTAGTATATCAAACTGTAGGGAGATGAAGAGAACAGCAAGTGTGATTTGGGGAGGGTAAAGGAACAGCTTAAGTTATGCTGTGAAGATTGCTGTTTCGTACAATGTGAGAATATTGCTGGAGATATTTCGTGGGTACAGACTTGTTAATTTGGTACATATGAATAAGGTATGTATATTTATTTGTTGACATTTGTTTGACTGGAAGTATATTTGAAATACTATATTTTCAAAGGGGAGCATTTTGACAGTAATCAAACTGGTTTGTTTGTGTGTTCTGGTAGTTGACCCAGTTGAGAAAGTTTGTTTGTAAATACGCACCATATTGTCATGTGAAGTTCACAAGTTTAGATCATGTCATGTCACGTCATGCACCAAAACCATCAGGCACATCAAAGTGGTTATTTATAGTGGCAAATGGCAACCAAATGCATACAATACTCACTGAACTGAGTGTTTAGAGTTTACTTGCGTTTATAGTCATGTACATACATGGCCAAATTGCATTTACAAATAGCATATAAGAATCTTTGATAGTGCGGGCATTTACTTTCTTCAACGACTTCCATCTAGCTGTTGGCTGCCTATTTATTATGATTACATTATTCACCCCTCGTCATGCATTATTTGTCATAACAACACAGGGTATTTGTGGATGTGGTATCCCGCTATTAGACTGAGTGCACACACTAGTCCAGATTTAACACATAAGTACTTACTTGGCACTGGTAGGACAATTTGTTGAGTTGGTTCAGGTGATGTGAGACAGAGGTACAGATAAGCTGCGTAAATTATGCAAATATTTATGTGAAAACTCAATTCATATTAAGTCTATTGCGTACAAGTACGCTTCAATTTTTGTAAATACTCAATAAATGTGATCTTACATGCGTACACACATGAATGACAAATCTTAGCTTGCGTACCAGTGGTTAGATAAAATAACTCCGGTATACTGAGAAGTTCTATTTCAGGAAATGAACTTGACAACTTTCAGTTTCTCCTAATACAGATATAACTATAACTATAACGGACTGATCCAATAACTTGGCTAGGATTTGTAGTCGATTCTGCTGCTGACTGAACTAAGACAGAAGGCAAACCAGAAGAGTCCATTCTTACTGCCATCCAGGATAGCAGGAAGTTAACCAGGAAAGTCCATTCTTGCTGCCATCCTGGACAGCAGCAAGTAAACCAGGAGAGTCCATTCTTGCTGCCATCCAGGGTCCCGTTCCTCAAAGCGATCGTAGCGCTAAGGTGATAGTAACAGCCATACTTTAACATAGACTTACGACTGTCGTAGCGCTACGATCGCTTTGAGGAGCGGGGCCGTGGACAACAGCAAGTAAACCAGGAGAGTCCATTCTTGCTGCCCTTCAGGAGAGCAGGATAAGTTACTGTGAACCACTCACAAGGCAGTCCGTTCAACAACAGCTGCTGCCGTGTGTTTGTGAAACTTGTCAACTGTATCCAAGCATGTACTGAAGATGACCAAATCAGAAGTCCTGATAACAAACAATCCAGTCCTTGTGCATCGTAGGTACACGGCTTTCCACGGGTTGCCATAGGTTGCCACTCTGGGTTATAAATCATGTAGTTAATTGTCACTCTGTGGATCAAAATATCCTGTGTTCCAGTCAATCATTTGGGGATATTTATTCACATCAAACATGGAAATCATTTCACATCGTTGCTGTGGTTAGTGTTGGGTGTATTTGAGACCCAGTAGGACTATGGTTTCTTGGCAACATCATACCATCCATGTGCACAGATATATGTTAATGTTTGACTCTACCAGTGTTAGTGTACTCAAAAACTGTATTTTTGAGGGAATTTGACATTTACGAATCCTGTTCAGAGTACTCATCTTGAGCGTTGTTATCATTTTCAAATGTTATCATTGAAAGTTGCAAGAGCAGTTTTACTTTTTTCGTTGCCGGCCTGTTTTTGCAGATCCTGTTGAATGAATGTATTTGTTAATACAACAAAAAGGTGTAATTTAAGCTTGACACCTTGGCTAATCACTTGCAGCAGTGCTCCAGATAAGGGCCGTATCGGCGTATGTACGGATATAAAATATGCATGATACGGTAGGAAATAATTTAGAAAACGTAGCAGATACGCACCACAGCAATGGTGTACGGTCTTAGAATCATTTACAGACGTTTTTATCTGAAAAATTATTGTTTTATTGTTTAATGACCTGTTTACACAAGAGGCAATGTTGTGGTGCATATATGAAACGAAACACAAGATTACTGATACTCCATTAAATTCCATTCAGTACTCTAAATGTACTTGTAAGGTTTTCTAGTACTCCTGTATTGAAAAAGTAAGCAGTACGTACTCTTGATGTTGAAAACTTATCTGGAGCCCTGCTTGCACCTGATTTAGTGTACCACTACTCCTGATCTCATATCAAACTGAGAGCTTTTGAATGAATCTGTTCTCATATAAACTGGTTTCTGGTTGTATTTGCCTTGTGTCATCTTTACAGGTGCATCCTGACATTTGTGCGAAGTTTCATTTCGCTAGATGCAATGTTTGTATGGCCCATTTGACCAAATAAAGAGAAATGAATGCCTCGTAACAAAATTGTTTTCCTCTATTTGGCAGAAATTTGTGAAAGTTCCAAATATGTACAACTACTGGACTATTAAATACCTGTTAATTGCAATACACATTGTTGATCCATACATCAGTATTTATGCTGGAAATGTTTTGTACTTTAAATCATTTTGGGCCAGATATATTCTACATTGTTTTACCTTCATGACACAAGCCTGCAGGTTTGACAAGAGATCATTTACAAAATGGAAAAAATATCAGTGTAATGCCATTAATGTCTTGAAAATACTTGTTGATTTTGTTTGTACTTGTTATTTTATTAAAATAAGAAGCTCTGGTAATTAAATTTCACCTAAATCTATTTCCATTTGTTGTTTTTAGAATGTTGAAATATGAATGAAAAAGAGCTTCAGAGTGATGGAAATGCTAAAATTGTTTCACATGTACCAAATTGTCAATAATTTAAGATGCCTCAAGTATGCGTATGCTATTGGAAAAAGTTTGTTTGTCAGAGAATGAATAACTATTATAAATATCAACATGTTCAAGTCAACTTAAGGAGATAGTATGTTTCCAGGTTTCTCACTATACTGAGAATTAATGGAAGCTACTCTTATCTTTCGTTATAATATATACTTCCCTTGAATATTATGTGAAACCGCTTTTTAGTGATGTTGAGATATCATCGTTGCCTGAAAAGTTAACTTACTTTATGATAAGTTTATGGGGCTACTAGGGCTGGGACCCGTGAAGATCCGGGGTAGAAAGGTCTTCAGCAACCCATGTGCTTGCCATAAAAGGCGACTATGCTTGTCGTAAGAGGTGACTAAAGGGATCGGGTGGTCAGTTTCGCTGACTTGGTTGACACATGTCATCAGTTCCCAATGGTGCAGATCGATGCTCATGCTGTTGATCACTGGATTGTCTGGTCCAGACTCGATTATTCACAGACCAGTGCCAGCTGGGATATTGCTGAGTGTGGCGTAAAACTAAACTCACTCACTCACTCACTACTAGGGCTGGGATGATACACTATGTCACGATACGATATGTATTGCGATACATACACTTTGAAACAATGACACAGTATTAAGATTTTTAATGATTTATTTCAAGGTATTTGTGTATAACAATAACACTATTGTAATAAACAAACAAGTAACTCTATCATACATGTGTATTTTTCTCTAAATAAGTACTTTAACATGTTTAAGATAATACTGTTTTGAAAAAAGTTGTGTATTGTTTTGTATCGATACACCAGTCGACAATACGATAGCTGCTTCAAACTTAAATGTATTGTGATGTATTGGTGCATCGGTGAATCGTCCCAGCCCTAGGGGTTACACTACCAGGTACCCATCATACAACCAATGCATTTCTTTTGACATGTATGTACATACAAAGTGGAAAAGCATTTTAGTGAAAGCATAGTCATCAAACTTGAACTTCACCAATTGATCAATGAATGTGAAAAGATTCAAATCCCATCTGCCTTAAAAATCCACATCAGTTATTAGATTAAACTTTGTTGAAGATGGATATTTTAATGACAGATTTTAAACTTTTTTTCTGGGGAATTCTCTTTTAAAGTTTTAATGTTCTATGAAATTTGAAAGGCACCTTAAATTTGTATTTTTGATAGCTTTGATAGTTCCTATCTTTGAAAAAACTGTCTCACTTGCAAAGTCAGAGTCTGACATCAATTAAACTGATTTTTAGTCAAGTGAAGACAAGGTAAAAATACTGCAGTTACAGCACAGGCCCTCATGTCTTTGTTAGGATTAAAGATTTAAAAAAAATATATAAAAAATTAAAATGACCCCCGACTCGAAATGCTTCACAGTACAATACATCATGACAAGGCATTGTTCTGTGAAGCATTTCAAGTCGGGGGTCATCTCAAACAATTTTTAAATTTTATATTTAATCCTCGCAAAGACAGGAGCGCCTATGAGTTATAGGTATGTAATAATTTAGTTAATACTGGTATTTAAGTTTTAAGGGCATTAAGAAGATTTTACCCAAATCATTACAGTCATTATTTATTGCCAATTCATAACAAGTTGCTTGTGTGTAACCAGAAGAAAGCAAGTTTGTTATCTGTATGTAACATTACTTGTGAATACCATTTGTAATGCAGATAAACATAGTACCTATTTTGTTTAATCTTATTTGAGAGCAGCTCCATTGAAGGTTTATTTTTAGAAGACAGAAATATTGTATTTTGCTATCAAGTCATGTCATGTTGTGTAGTAAATAGTTTGTGATTAAAAGGACTTTGCAGATAATTTATTGTGTAAATTAGGGCATATCTCATATCTGCGCATCCCCTTTTGTCCAGAAAGTTTATTTAGTGACCATTGAAACTCTCCAGGGGTGGAAATAACCCATTGCCTGACGTCCGAGTCCAGTGTTTTTTTCTGTCGGGCAAGCAAATTTGTATATCACGCTGTACCGGTGTCCAGTTGACTTTCCAATGTTAATTATGTTGTTTATTTAAAAATTCAACAAGAAAACGGCCGGTATAGTGGAAAAATGATCAGGGCAAGTGATTTACATGTGCCACTGTACCGGAGTACACTAGCAATTTTAAAGTTATTTCCACCCGGGCTCTCATGAAAAAGTGGGAAATGAACTGTGCACCCCCCTTTCTCAAAAAGCTGTATCCGCCCCTGTTAAGCATGTCATTTTGTCACAGTTGTGTAGATCGAAGATTGTGATGTAAATCACTGGATTATCTGGTCCAGACTCAATTATTTACAGGCTATATAGCTGGAAACAAACAAACAAACAAACAAACAAACAAACAAAGAAGCAAACAAACAAACAGACTGCCATGATATAGCCAGAATCTCTCTGACTGTTGGGTTTAGCAACACTATATTATAATAATCATAATCTTGTGCTTTATTATCCAATAATCAAGATATGACTCTTTAGGATGTTCAGTCAACACCCAGATATATAACTTTCTTCATGGTGTAATATTTGTTTGATTTCTGACTATTTCTAGTTAAATGTTAAAAGATGTAAGTGTAAAATGTTGTTCGTAGCTTAAACGTTTCATAATACAGTTTTAGTGAAGCTTTAGTTAACCTAGACTAGATGTTACATGCAGCAACAAACTGTGCAGGGCCCAGTTCCATTCCCTGCAGACCCTTATCATGGATAATTAACTGAATAGGTGATCTCATAACACCAGAATGTTTGTTGTTCCTCATGAAATGTAAATATACATAAAGGGGCCAAGTGACCTATCACAGCAGCCCTAAACATGTGTTTATATAAATGGGTGAAAATTTAGGGATGTCAGCTCCAGTAATATGAGGGACCATGTTTTGGGGTATATTCTTATAATTTGAACAGTCATGTCCCATCATAATACAGAAGTTAATATCCATAAATTTTCACTGTTTATGTGTATCTCTTCTAAATGTCATTCAAAGACTTTGTGTGTTTATATATCTTTGCAGCTGTAGTTCCAAAATAAGGTGTATGTTGTGATTGGCCCCTCATAACCTATTGCTTGTTCAGGGCCACATGTATGTATATGACTGCCCAAGATGTGGATATTCAACAGACTTACCCTTGATCTTACTGACATGTACACTGTGAGGTTGTTTTCACTGCTTAATTCAGATGCATGCTATTTTTAATGGTTTTGTTTTGCTTGTTGATGTTAAGTTGTTATTTTAAATGTAAATAAATAGATTTGACCTATATCTTTGGCTTTTCACTCTCATTAAGAATGCAAATGATTTTTTTTCTGAGGATTCCTTTTTCAAAGAAGTGCAATTCATTTGCATGATAATGATAACTTTCATTGTACATACAGAATTATCTTCATACCATATTAACCTTGACACTCTCCATTAAATGGAGCAATTGTTTTAATCAAGAGATGACATGTTTAGTTAGTCATACAATTTCCATGTACAATCTTATTTGTTTTTAGAACATATTTCATCTTAGGCCAGACCAATTTTATTTCTTGTTTTACCAATTTTTGTCCTGAGAAAACCTAAAGGCAGGAGGGAAAAATATCACCAGTCAAAGCAAAACCCACATGATTTTCCTTGTTAACTCTTTTGGTTTGTTTATATCAACTAAATATAAGTTAAGTGAGTTTAGGCTTCACACTGATTTCAAGGGTAATTCACTTATATCACATTAACATGTTCTTAAACAGGGAACATTAATTATTTATTTTTCTTATTCTTGAAAAAATACGACCGGCGTATCCGTAAGACAAGAAATAAAATTGGTCTGGCCTTAAAGTGAAACAAAATTATTTTTGTGCTTTAATTACTCAACCTCCCAATTCTTTCTCTCATAATCCTTGGCAGTGCTTATCTGCCTCCATGAAGTCAGTCTGTATCAAACAGGATGTGTCAAATGAGTCAAAGATGTGCCAATTTTAGATAGATAGCTTCTGATGTGAAATGCCTGCTGTGTTCAAAGTGTTTTAGGTTATAATTTTAATAAGATTATAATTTCAATAAGAAGTTTTACAAAATGAGGCATCTCTTTACATTTTGGTAGGGAAACCCATGACAAAATTATTATTATTATTTTTAAAAAAATATGCTCTGTATCTTAAGTTACGATTTTATTAGAACAAGTATTGACGTTATTGAATATTGGTTCCATTTACCTTGATCTTGAACTTTGTCTTTGTAAGGAAGAGAATTTTATGGATGTCAACTTCTTTATTATCACGTGGCGGTGGGGTAGCCTAGTGGTTAAAACGTCCGCTTGTCACGTGGAAGACCCGAGTTCGATTCCCTACATGGGTACAATATGTGAAGCCCATTTCTGGTGTTATAGGTATCATATTATTTTTTAATAGGCTGCTTATTGCTGACATCAAAATGAAAGGGTGTACAGCACAATGAAGTTTAAACTGACATTTACAAAGCTGGATATTTTGCAGTTCAAAATATTATTTTCCAATTTTTAAGCGTTTTATCTTACATGGTGAACCTGTCTAACCAGTCTATGACAAATGTGGAATAAATGAAACTGTTTGGGATTAGCCAGCAGTCTTGTATTCAGTCCCTGATGTTATCATCCAGTTTTCCACATGGGCACAATGGTGTCACCTGCCGTGATATTGCTGGAATATTGCTAAAAGAGGCGTAAAATCATACTCACTCACGGACCCTTTATTATGAGGAACAACCTTTCTGAGTATTACCTACTCCATCAGGTGAACCCATAAAATTCTCTTCTTTATATGTATCACTATAAATGCCATTCAAAGGGGCAGTTCGTCTTTGTAGCTTGAATCAAGTGTAAACATGTAGCTTATTGTTAAGCCCATACGTCATGCTTGTTATGTCCCTGGTATCTTAGGAAGAGGCAATTCACAAATCAGTTTTAGCAGGCGAGAATTTGGTGTCAGGCTTAAGTGTGTTTTGGAGAGTTTTCACATGCATGTCATGTCCATATTGTATGTGTCATCAGTGTTCATGCACAGGAATACAGAAGGCCAGATTTCATTTTGTTTGTTTGCATGTTTTAAAAACAAATATACATTTTTTCATGCTTTAAGTAAAATAGTATTTTTTTAATGAATACTGTAAATCCTTTTCCCTTACTGAAAATAAGAATGTAAAATATAAATATACAAAAATGTGAAAAATAGTAAAACAAACAACACCTGAATAGTTGAAGAAATGTCATATTTTTTATTTTTTTCAAAATTTGTTTTACTTTTTTCCGGTTCGGTTTAAAAACATATTTTGATAGAACCAAAAAAATTGTGGCCAAAGGTTTATTGTAAATATTGTGGTTGTGTAAGCCTGCAGTGTATTGTGTGCTGAAGCGGTGTTACGGATGTAGCTGTAGACCAACCACCGAGGGATTTCTCCATGTACATACAGACTCGTGCCAGTTATGTTCGGACGTTTGACTTACATGTTATTTCAGTGAAGCATAAATAATTTTCATGAAGTGAGTTCAGGATGGATTTTTGTAAAATTTGACAAGCAAATGTTAAATCATCTCTGCTCTGCGCACATAATTTAACTTCAATTTTCAGACCACTATTTAACTATCCCATAGGCCGCCATGTTAAAGGAGTTCATGGCACTGTACATATGTTGATTAAATTGTTGCCTTTCGATAAATAACAACGGAAAAGTAAACATAAATTATGTGATTGTAGGTAAGATGATTCCTCACAAATGTGAAAAATTTGACATGGATCTTACGGAAAATGCATTTATGAAAATTATTTATGCTACACTAAATGAACATGTAAGTCTGTGGAAATTACGCCAAGTGTCCGAATATATCAGATAGCTGATTCTGCAAGCCGTGGTGTTAGTTGCTGTCATGTTGTGTTAATCACGAGTGAGGGACAGTCCATTCAATAATGTAGGGGTGTCTGGGATTTATGTTTCAGAAGATTTGTCTCAGAAAAGAGGAGTCAAACAATATAATTTTCTAGACGGTTTTTTCAGAACATTCAGTTAATATTGATGTTTTATGTGTAAAATCTTCAAACGTTTTCCGGAATATATGTATTTTTGTGAATAAATCCCAGTCCACCCTCCCTGATAGTGAAATGGTCAGTCCCTATTGTTGCAAAGAAACTTAATAAAGTGAAATTGATGGGAAAATGTGTTGTGTTTTTACTGAAAATAAAAGGTATCAAGCTGTTGGAGCCAGTTAAAGCACAGTAGTGCAGTGGTAAGGCGTCTGCCTATGACGCTGAAGGCCCGGGTTCGATCCCCAGTGGAGGCACCTAGCTTTGGGTCCCGAGGTGGGCACATTTGCGTAGTATCCTTCGACAAGGTACTTAGATCCACATTGTCTCAGTTCACCCAGCTGTAAAACGGGTACCCGTGAGGATGTGCTGGCAATGTGAGTGTTTAGTTTAACAGGCAGCTTGACTGTACCATCCCCAGGGAGTATAGGAAAGTACGATAGTGTCCTATGACCGGGGATAGTAATGTACGAGCAGGCAATGTGCCTGGATATGAGCGCCATATATGCGGACTACAGTATTACTGTTACTAAAATTACAGTTACTAAATCTCCAAATCAATATCATCATCATCATCATCATCATCATCGGGAGACTCAACAGAAACGGGATTTCTGTTGCCAGGCAGCAGCTGAATGGTGAGGAGGGTTATCAGACACCGGGGCTTGTATTGCTGAAGATACTACGACCAATGTCCAACACTCGTTTACTGATAGCCATGTGCATTAAAAAATGTAGATGGCTATCAGTGAAGAAGTGTTGGCCCTAGGACGTATTATTTTCAGCAATACAAGCCCCTGTGTTGAGACAGTCTTGTCATTGCAGTAGAAGATCGGATTACGATAATGTTGACCCTGGTATTAGATATTTGTTCATTCTATCAATGATTCTCTTGGCAGTTCTTTGTTGTTGTTTGTTGTTTAACGCCACACTCAGCAATATTCCAGCTATATTTATAACTCTCATAAGATCAAAAAACATGATACAATTGCAAAATGTAAACGATACATAAACAATTAAACCGATACAATGTACTTTCAAAACTAAATATCGATGCATCGATGTATCGTGGCATCCCTAAGTTGCATATTTTAAGTGAGTGAGTGAGTTTAGTTTCACGCCGCACTCCGCAATATTCCAGCTATATGGCGGCGCTCTGTGAATAATCGAGTCTGGACCAGACAATCCAGTGATCAACAGCATGGGTATCGATCTGCGCAATTGGGAACCGATGACATGTGTCAACCAAGTCAGCGAGCCTGACCACCCGATCCCGTTAGTCGCCTCTTACGACAAGCATGGGTTACTGAAGGCCAATATTCTAAACAGGACCTTCACGGGTGCAAATTTTAAGGAGGGCACATCCATGGACTTATCTTTCACATCAGCCCAACAGCTAAGTTGCTCTTTGGGGAAGTAGAGTTGGTGCTTCGTAAACTGTGCTTGGGGACTTGTTAAGTTTTGGTCACTTGTACCGAAATAGTATTTAATGTTCAGACAGATTTACTACCTTTTACCCTCTCTGTAGATACAGAAGGCATGGAAGACCTATCATCCACATGATTATATTCCTTTAACCTTTGTCTGTGAATTCCTTATAATCTCTACTCATAATTCTATAACTGACAAATTCTCACACCCTCTGATGTAGTCTGTCTCACAGTCCCCGAACCATATTATTTTCCCAACAGCCTAGCCCTCCCTGCAATGCTAAAGCCCTAAATGAAGCAAGTCTAGATTTCTCCATGTTCTGAATCTCTGGTCTCCCTGGGACTCCTTTTCAATTTCAATGGGGTTATTTGTTACAATCAAAATTATACATATTCAGAGACTAAGCGTTAGTCTACCTCTGTTGACATGCTGCAGTTTCAGGTGAGTGTAATGAATCCATTATCTGCTATCTCCTCTGCTTGGGAGGATTCTTCGAGTGAGAACAGTATTGTTTTGTAAATGGTGTAAGTATCTGGGCACCCACTTCTTAAATCGTCTCTATGCGATAACCCTTTACTTGAAACTGCCCTTCAACTGGTAAAACAACTGTAACTGCCTATGGCTAGAATGCAGAAGCACTAGATGAAGCAAGTCTAGATTTCCACAGTCGGGCTCCTTTTCAATTTATATGTAGTCTAAACAGTGCAGTTTATCACGAGGAGCAATTACCGCGCTATAACGCGCCACCTGTCTCGCTATAGCGCTACCTGGCTCACGCATTAGTGCTGTCGTACTCTCACGTCTGTTTTGTTTTAAACATATTTTATTCATTCAAGAAAAGGATTGGGCACAAGTTATCCAACTCAGAAAAGCCCTCTCCAGATAATTACACAATTCATCTAACAACAAAGTACACAAGTGACAGACATAGGCTAGGATATGTACAACAGATGTTAACTGAGAAAGCGTTTTGTTTGAGAGATATAGATATGTACATATTTGAAAACATTCTGGTTGTCAGTGATTGAGAGACCTGCATTGCCTTGTAAGATAAGATTAATATCAATCAGTGTTCAATTTTTGACAATATGTTCTAAAGATTTTAACAGTTTATGTCTTTGAATAGTATACAAAGGACATTCAAGGAAGTAATGAAAAACATTCTCACATCTATGGCCACATTGACATGATGCGTCATTTTTTACATTTATTCTATATAAATCATAATTAAGTGTACTCGTCTTCTCACGTCTGCAGAGGCAAACACAATCTTACGATGCGGTAAGGGTTAGGTAGACTAAGGCTTAGTCTTTGAATATATATAATTTTGATAGTAACAAACAAGCCCATTTAAATTGAAAAGGAGCCCCAGGGAGACCAGAGATTCCTGAGGAAATCTAGACTTGCTTTATTTAAGGCTTTAGCATTGCAGAGAGGGCTTGGCAGTGGGGAAAATAATGTGGTCCAGGGACTGTGAGACAGACTAAGGTTTAGGGTGTACTCCCTGTCCATACTCTCTTCAGTGACCAACTATTTATAGAACTGCGCTGTAACTCGGACAGAAAGGCTACTGCTTGTGTCACGCAAGTGTATGACCCAAATTGGGTCACGTTCATTCAAGTTCAACAAAGGAAGAATCCGGGAACTAGTCTCTGCATGACCCAGATTTTGCTGTAAAACGTAATAGAAACATGTGCACATATAAAGTTTAAGTACCCACATTTTTGTGTCGTCATATCGCCGGAAGCCTGACATGCATAACGTAACTTCACACAACTCTGTATCGTAAATGCAGCTTGGAACATTTTTAACTTGCACTTGGTGCATGAGGACAGAGCTATTTGGATGCATTTGTCAGCAACAAGTTGCACTGGTGCATGTCGTGTTCTGATACATGTATGAGATAACAGCAGGTGGGGTGTGATACTTCACTTACATTTATCACTGGTCTGTATTCATATCCCATGTGTTGTCAAACGTGAGATAACAGCAGGTGGGGTATGATACTTCACTTACATTTATCACTGGTCTGTATTCATATCCCCTGTGTTGTCAAACGTGAGATAACAGCAGGTGGGGTATGATACTTCACTTACATTTATCACTGGTCTGTATTCATATCCCCTGTGTTGTCAAACGTGAGATAACAGCAGGTGGGGTATGATACTTCACTTACATTTATCACTGGTCTGTATTCATATCCCTGTGTTGTCAAACGTGAGATAACAGGAGGATGGGTGTGATACTTCACTTACATTTATCACTGGTCTGTATTCATATCCCATGTGTTGTCAAACGTGAGATAACAGGAGGAGGGGTGTGATACTTCACTTACATTTATCACTGGTCTGTATTCATATCCCATGTGTTGTCAAACGTGAGATAACAGCAGGTGGGGTATGATACTTCACTTACATTTATCACTGGTCTGTATTCATATCCCCTGTGTTGTCAAACGTGAGATAACAGCAGGTGGGTTGTGATACTTCACTTACATTTATCACTGGTCTGTATTCATATCCCCTGTGTTGTCAAACGTGGGAGATACTTCACAACAGGTGTGGTCAAACGTGATAACTTGGGTGTGATACTTATATTTATCACCGGTTTCATATCCCACATGTTGTCAAACGTGAGATAACAACAGGTGTGGTAGGATACTTCACTTATATTCATCACCGGTTTCATATCCCACATGTTGTCAAACGTGAGATAACAACAGGTGGGGTATGGTACTTCACTTATATTTATCACCGGTTTCATATCCCACATGTTGTCAAACGTGAGATAACAACAGGTGTGGTAGGATACTTCACTTATATTTATCACCGGTTTCATATCCCACATGTTGTCAAACGTGAGATAACAACAGGTGTGGTAGGATACTTTAATTATATTTATCACCGGTTTCATATCCCACATGTTGTCAAACGTGAGATAACAGCAGGTGGGGTATGGTACTTCACTTATATTTATCACCGGTTTCATATCCCACATGTTGTCAAACGTGAGATAACAACAGGTGTGGTAGGATACTTTAATTATATTTATCACCGGTTTCATATCCCACATGTTGTCAAACGTGAGATAACAGCAGGTAGGGTTTGGTACTTCACTTATATTTATCACCGGTTTCATATCCCACATGTTGTCAAACGTGAGATAACAACAGGTGTGGTAGGATACTTTAATTATATTTATCACCGGTTTCATATCCCACATGTTGTCAAACGTGAGATAACAGTAGGTGGGGTATGGTACTTCACTTATATTTATCACCGGTTTCATATCCCACATGTTGTCAAACGTGAGATAACAACAGGTGTGGTAGGATACTTCAATTATATTTATCACCGGTTTCATATCCCACATGTTGTCAAACGTGAGATAACAACAGGTGTGGTAGGATACTTCAATTATATTTATCACCGGTTTCATATCCCACATGTTGTCAAACGTGAGATAACAGCAGGTGGGGTATGGTACTTCACTTATATTTATCACCGGTTTCATATCCCACATGTTGTCAAACGTGAGATAACAACAGGTGTGGTAGGATACTTCACTTAAATTTATCACCGGTTTCATATCCCACATGTTGTCAAACATGAGATAACAACAGGTATGGTAGGATACTTCACTTATATTTATCACCGGTTTCATATCCCACATGTTGTCAAACGTGAGATAACAGCAGGTGGGGTATGGTACTTCACTTATATTTATCACCGGTTTCATATCCCACATGTTGTCAAACGTGAGATAACAACAGGTGTGGTAGGATACTTCAATTATATTTATCACCGGTTTCATATCCCACATGTTGTCAAACGTGAGATAACAACAGGTGTGGTAGGATACTTCAATTATATTTATAACCGGTTTCATATCCCACATGTTGTCAAACATGAGATAACAACAGGTATGGTAGGATACTTCAATTATAGTTAGCACTGGTTTCACACCCCATGTGTTGTCAAACGTGAGATAACAGCGGATCATTACTATTTTCATCACTTTAATATCACTATAACAGATCCCTCCCACTGGTCCCTCAACTAGATGTTAGTAGGCCTATTCTGGTTAATATGTATATATTGGTATATGGATTTAGAGTGTCATATTTCGAGAAATATTCTAGCACTCCCAGCCCTCTGTGTCAGTGTCACCTTGTTCGACGGGCACTGGAACACAGCGTTAAGCACAATAGCCAACAACGACGGGCAAAGTGGGGCAACCCAGGCGATTCGACGTATCAAATTCCTTTTCACTCCTTCGAACGAGTCACCTTGTCAGTATTTGCCATTACACAAAGATGGGAGAGGTAAGTACATTCTGCTGATTGTATAAACATTCCTACTGATTGGTGAACATGGTGGGAAATCTTGAAATGGACGCAACATCAACGAAGTGTTGTTATAACGACATCTGAAAAAAACCTAAAAAATAAACGGTCAATGGATCGGCGTCGAAACGATCATTAATGCGTTACGAATATATAATAAGTTCTTGGGAGGCATTTAGAACTTAAAGGAACATGAATACATGACACGTTTTATGGAAAACAATTTCTTTTTATTCTGTATCCCGACACCACAGGGTGTATTTTACGGCGCTTCGTATGATGCGTGATTTGACCACTGGCGTTGCTCACTATATATAGTAACACAATGCTGTGGTACACTCCTTTTTGTCAGGAATTAGATATCCATTGAATATGTAATCACTACAAGAGCATTTCTTTTTCTGTTCCCAAACCATTTCCATTTTCTTGGATGTCAGAACGAATAGGTGCTGGGCATACGATGTGTGATATAAGGGAGATAACTCTAATGTTTTCACCGATGCTCAATTTCTCATTAGCATAAATGACCCTCCCTATGACAAATGCACACACGCTTTAGAAAACAATCATTTGGGTGACTGAAATACATATTCAACAGCACGCTTTGCATATTTTAAGCATTGGGACAACAACAAACGATATGTTGTGTTTCAGAGAGAAGTGAATTACACGTTCACCCTTATCTTCAGCGTAATCATTGCCGTGTTTGGCAACTCGTTCCTGTATGGATATCAGATAGGCGTAGTAAACACGCCATCCCACGTGAGTGTTTCTTGTTCAGCTTTATACACAACTCAACTGTTAACGTTTTTCATTGATTAGAAAGATTAAAAGACTTTGTCAGTAACGTGTCAGTACGTTAGGATTGCCATAAGTGAAATTGTGAGTTTAGTTTTACGCAGCTTTTAGCAACATTTCAGCAATATCACGGTGGCAGACACCAGAAATGTGCTTCACACACTGCATCCATGTGGGGAATCGAACCGGGGTCTTCACCATGACGAGCGAACGCTTTAACCACGAGGCTACCTCACCGCCCCTACACGTGAAACAGAGACGTCAGTGAAGCTGGACAGCTTGATATTCAATCTAACATCATACCAATGCGGTTAGCAACTTGGTGTCGAGAATATGATGCTGCTGACCAACATTGCAGCATATTAATGAGTGCACTAATTGCACGAGGTCATGTTATGGGCCTTTGGGTGTAGCCTTGTGGCTAAAGCTTTCGCCTGTCACACTGATAGCTGAGTGGAGAATGTGTACAATACGCGAAACACATTTTTGGTTTCCTTCGATGTGAAATCGCTGCAGTATTGCTAATTGCTGCGTAAAACAACACTATTTGGAATATGCACATTCTGCAACATAAGTGGTGTCGATGATTTCCATGTTTACATGCGATGTCAATCTGTATAGAAAAATATGTTCCTAAGAAATGTTTGGTTAACAGTACCCTGGAATCATTTTGTGATCTGATGTGTGAAAAGCAAACAATTGTTGTAGCAAAACTTAACTTTGTGGCTGAACATAAAGTTTGTAATGAGTGATTGAGTGAGTTTAGTTTTACGCCGCACTCAGCAATATTCCAGCTATATGGCGGTGGTCTGTAAGTAATCGAGTCTGGACCAGACAATCCAGTGATCAATGGCATGAGCATCGATCTACCCAATTGGGAACCGATGTCATGTGTCAACCACGTCAGCGAGCCTGACCACCCGATCCCGTTAGTCGCCTCTTACGACAAGCATGGGTTACTGAAGGTTCATTCTAACCCGGACCTTCACGGGTCTAAAGTTTGTAAAACGAAAAATAATAATAATACAAATGACATATTTCTAGCCCTTTCTAGCTTTTGTGTGAAAACTATATTTAGGTTAATAACACAATAAACAGAACTAAATTCAATTTTCAGATAATTAAAGATTTTTACAATGCCACCTATTACGAGAGAAGGGGAGGTAACTGGAGCAACATTCAAGCATATGCTTCGTATCGAGACAGCCTCAACAAGTCAGTAACTGACACTGGCAATGCATCAACAACTCCAGGGCCAGCGGAAAAAACGCCAGCTGATTTCGGGGCGGACGAGTCCCTGCTGCTTGAGAAATGGGAGCTTGAACTCCTGTGGTCTTCGACTGTCGCCGCCTTTGTTTTGTTTGGAATGGTTGGTGCGTTCCTGGCACTTAAAGTTGCTGACACCGTTGGAAGGTAAGAAGGAATTGTCCAGAGATTTAGATTGTAGTCATCTTGGTGCAAAGCCAAGTTTTGGTGGGTAAATTTAGAATATAACCTTGTTATTTTATTGAATACTGCTATATTTTTAAAAGCATTTTCTTAATTACAGAGATATCTGAACTTGTATTTCAGCTCTGTATTTAATGCAATGAATGTTTAATTTAAGTTAAAACATTTTTGTTATCAATTAATGACAAATCACCCAGACTTCTGACAAGTGTAAAATGACATGGGTCCTACGGCTGAAAGCTGTGATTTTAACAAACAAGACCTTTAAAAAGTGGTCAAATGTAACATACTCTCTCAGTAAAGTAAAGAATCTAGTAGTTTTTCGAGGCGTTAGTCTTATTCAGAATTCGAACCCACGCTCTGCCTGGATGATTCAAGATATGCTTGGCTTGGTTTGGCTTGGCTTGGCTTGGCTTGGCTTGGCTTGGTGTGTGCGCGCGCGTGTGTTAGAATTGGAATAAGTCAAATTGTATGTTTGTTGTAACGGTTACCATTTTGTGCATATAAACCGCTTTATCAAATTACCAATGAACATTTCAAATACCTTGAAAGGTGGCTTGTGGCATATTATGATATTGTGGAAAATTATATTGTTCCTTGGGTCTTTGAGTGAGTGAGTTTGGTTTTTAGCTTTTAGCAATATTCCAGCAATATCACGGCGGGAGACACCAGAAATGGGCTTCACACTTTGTACCCATGTGGGGAATCGAACCCGGGTCTTCGGCGTGTCGAGCGAACGCCTTAACCACTAGCCTACGCCATCGCCCCTTTGATCATCTCCTAATCTTAACGCTTAGACGGAAATGTTCATTTTGGAATTCCAGGAGTCATTGTCTGTGTCCCAGGTGAAAAAAAGCTGATGGTGACCAAGCTGTACAATGTTGATTCCACGGAAAACACAGGGTTGATTTGTATGACACAGACCATTTTGCGTTTTCTTCCATACATGTCTCGAGTCACAGCTTACAAACACATGCACGTTTTTGTATTTTAGCTTTTGTTGTATTTCTGTAACAGAAAGCGTGGCATGGTCGTCATCACCTTCATCATGTTCATTGCTGCAATTCTCGGTGGAATAACAGTCATCGCCAAGTCTCCTGAGTGTCTCATTTTGTCTCGAGTCTTGGTTGGATTGCATTCTGGGTTAAATATAACTTTGGCACCCCTGTATCTCGCGGAAATATCCCCGAAGAAAATTCGTGGCGCTATTGGCACTTGTCATCAGTTGGCCATCACTCTGGGCATTCTGTCTTCTCAGATCCTGGGATTGACCGAAATGTTAGGTAATTATATTCATAATTGGAAATTATATTGTCATCAATAATCATGCCACATTTCTTCAAGCAATCACTGCCTCTCTGATATAATTTCTATTAAAAACCCCAGCTAGATATTCATTCCATGTCCAACCATATTTAAATACTTAACCATACCATACTGATGTGTTTACTTCCCAAAGGTAGAAGGTGGAATTTAACATTGGTAGATTTTTGTATCTTTTTAGCCGAAGACCACAACACAAAACATATCACAGTCAAACAACGTAATGTCGAACTTACAGTTTTATTGAATTAAAAGTTTGGTCCGTTATTTAGTCGGCATTTAGCGGTGGTATCTAACCTTGGATAACTGGAAGTATTTACGAAAGTGATTTTACTTTGATACAGGGGTGTTTGACTGTATAAGATTCTAGCTTTGGAGAACTGGACTGTTGTACAATTAAGTTATCTGATATTGTCTACACAGTTTGTTTGAGTCCAGTTTAGGCCAAAGAAATCACTTTTCAATGTCCCCCACAACTATAGATAATGACACCGCATTTCAATATATCAAATGTAAGTTCATTGCCCAGCAATAGCTATATGCCCCAATTCAGTACGTCTTAGTCATATTCTGTGTATTCCATGGCTATAGATATACACCTCACTTCAATATATTCAAGTCAGGTTCAGTTCCCTCCATGACTATTGATTTTACCTCACTTCAGCACGTGTAATTATAGTTGCGTGTAACCATGGCAATGACATTTACTTTATTTCAACAAATAAAAGTATAGATCTGTGTACCCATAGACATTTACCTCACTTCAGCACGTCTAATTATAGTTGCGTGTAACCATGGCAATGACTTTTACCTTATTTCAACACACCCAAGTATAGATCTGTGTACCCATATCTATAGACATTTACCTCACTTCAGCACGTGTAATTATAGTTGCGTGTTACCATGGCAATGACTTTTACCTTATTTCAACACACCCAAGTATAGATCTGTGTACCCATATCTATAGACAATTACCTCACTTCAGCACGTCTAATTATAGTTGCGTGTAACCATGGCAATGACTTTTACCTTATTTCAACACACCCAAGTATAGATCTGTGTACCCATATCTATAGACATTTACCTCACTTCAGCACGTGTAATTATAGTTGCGTGTTACCATGGCAATGACTTTTACCTTATTTCAACAAACCCAAGTATAGATCTGTGTACCCATATCTATAGACATTTACCTCACTTCAGAACGTGTAATTATAGTTGCGTGTAACCATGGCTATGCCTTTTACCTTATTTCAACACACCCAAGTATAGATCTGTGTACCCATAGCCATTTACCTCACTTCAGCACGTCTAATTATAGTTGCGTGTAACCATGGCTATGCCTTTTACCTTATTTCAACACACCCAAGTATAGATCTGTGTACCCATATCTATAGCCATTTACCTCACTTCAGCACGTCTAATTATAGTTGCGTGTAACCATGGCAATGACTTTTACCTTATTTCAACACACCCAAGTTTAGATCTGTGTACCCATAGACAATTACCTCACTTCAGCACGTCTAATTATAGTTGCGTGTAACCATGGCAACGACTTTTATATTATTTCAACGCACCCAAGTATAAATCCCTGTACTCATATCTATAGCCATTTACCTCACTTCAGCACGTCTAATTATAGTTGCGTGTAACCATGGCAATGACTTTTACCTTATTTCAACACACCCAAGTATAGATCTGTGTACCCATATCTATAGACATTTACCTCACTTCAGCACGTGTAATTATAGTTGCGTGTAACCATGGCAATGCCTTTTACCTTATTTCAACACACCCAAGTATAGATCTGTGTACCCATATCTATAGACAATTACCTCACTTCAGCACGTCTAATTATAATTGCGTGTAACCATGGCAATGACTTTTACCTGATTTCAACACACCGAAGTATAGATCTGTGTACCCATAGCCATTTACCTCACTTCAGCACGTCTAATTATAGTTGCGTGTAACCATGGCAATGACTTTTACTTTATTTCAACACACCCAAGTATAGATCTGTGTACCCATATCTATAGACATTTACCTCACTTCAGCACGTGTAATAATAGTTGCGTGTAACCATGGCAATGCCTTTTACCTTATTTCAACACACCCAAGTATAGATCTGTGTACCCATATCTGTAGACATTTACCTCACTTCAGCACGTTTGATTATAGTTGCGTGTAACCACGGCAATGACTCTTACCTTATTTCAACACACCCAAGTATAGATCTGTGTAACCATATCTGTAGCCATTCACCTCACTTCAGCACGAGCACGTCTAATTATAGTTATGTGTAACCATGGCTAGACATTTACCTCACTTCAATAGGTCAAGGTCAAGAGGTCAAGGTCGCTTTCCTTTGATCGTTCCCCTATCAAAATGTACACTATTTCCTTTTCACCTATGTGGTGCTTTTTTGGGTGTGGTGTTTCAGGAACCGTTGAGTTGTGGCCGCTGTTGTTTGCCTTCAATGCCATCCCCTCCCTCGTCTGTGTGTTGGTATTGCCCTTCTGCCCGGAGAGTCCAAGATGGCTGCTCATTGCCAAAAACATGGAAGACGATTCCAGGCAAGGTGAGTCAATTTGTCTGAGTCCTCTCGGTTTTTCAATTTTATCATGAAATAGAGGGAACTTTTTCACAACTCCCTATCCTCAAATATGTAAGAGGTCCTTAAATCCATACACTACGGTAAACAAACACAATTTCCCCTTGAACAAGGCTTTTAAAGTGTTGAATGTGGACAACTGAAATACTTGCTGAAATACTTGCTGAAATACTTCTAAAAGCGGCACAAAATACTTATTCACACACAATCAGGTTTGCATCTAAGTTACTAATGTCTTATGATCTAAAGGTTAGATCATAAGAACAATACAAAACGCTATAGAATTAATATTTGTTTCTTTTCTTCGACAGCCATGCAGAAGCTGCGAGGCTATGATAATGTAGAAGATGAGATCGATGAGATGAGGATGGAAGCGAAGAAGTCTGGAAATGCTAAGAACTTCACCCTGAAGGAACTCTTGACCACCCCCGACCTCAGGATGCCAACACTGATAGCCTGTGCAGGTCAGGTCAGCCAGCAGTGGTCAGGCATCAACGCTGTAAGTCAGATAGATGGAAAGGTGGAGAGATGTGGTGAGTGAGTGAGTGAGGGGGAGGGAGGAGGGATTGCATTTAAAATAGTTGGAAAGATAGAAAGATGTGGTAAAGAGTGAGTGAGAGAGTTTAGTTTTACGCCGCACTATATGGCAGCGGTCTGTAAATAATCGAGTCTGGACCAGACAATCCAGTGATCAACAGCATCAACATCGATCTGCGCAATTGGAAACCGATGACATGTGTCCACCACGTCAGCGAGCCTGACCACCCGATCCCGTTAGTCGCCTTTAACGACAAAGGCAGGCAGGGGGGGAGGTGTGGCATCAATTATGTAAATGGTGTGGATGGATACCAAAGTAGGAACTTGGTAGATTGGGATGGTCTGTGGATGAATGTCTAACGCAATTCCATTGACAACGAAACACTATTTCAGCACAGAACAATGATGAAGTTGACGATCACAATGCCAAGACGAAACACATACGGTGAACCATCTCCGGCACAGGTTCCAAACTGCACAGACCGCTGCTCAGACAATCCAGAAATTTGGCGTATCCGCCCAAATAGAGTCAGGAGTTAAGGGATATAATCACGTCGTCTCGCCATACGACCAACTCTGATGCAACGTCATTGAAAAACCGGTCAAAGGTGGTGTCGTCCTTATGTCTGTCAACCCTGATTGTGGTGAAGGATTATTGTCTACACACAAGTTCATATTCAATGTTTCCCATTGTGAAAGATGTCAACTTGTCGATAGACGTCTTCTGGAGCGGTATGTTCAAACCTGAGTCATTGAGCGGAATCAAGTTGGGGTGGTTCTGTGATGCTTTGGGGTAGGATAAGTGCACCTCAGAGTTGTTGTTCATGACAGTTTGACAGCTGTGAGCTACAGAGATCAGATTGAATTAATCAGATTCAGTAGCAGTGTCTTTAACGCCAAGGCCCACTATTCCAACAGGAACATCTCCGTCCTCACAATGCTGGAGTTGTCATTGCCTTTCTTCAACAGCACTGAGTGCATGTACTGCCTTGACCTGCAAATTCACCAAATTCTCTCTATGCCATATACCAAATCCACCTCATAGCGATCGTAACCTGGCGGAGTTGTAGAGAATATAACAAGCCTTCCATGCCCATTTGATAAAATCTATACGTCCTGCACTGCTGTTCTCGTTGTTCCGTGACCTTGTTGCTTGACCCGTGTTCTGTATTTGGCCTCGTAACGTCAATGATATGGTGGTGGTGGTGGTGGAATTGGGTTAAACGTCGTGCTTGAGAATATTTCGCTCATATGACGACGTGCATGCGTGTGTATGTGTATGTGCGGCTGCTTGTACTAGCCCAGACTGAAGCTGGTTTTATAGAGCTAGCCCACTGAGATACCATGCCGCAGTGAAGCATGAATACCCCACTCAGACACATTATACTGACTCCGAGCCGACCAGTCCTTGTTGTACCCATTAATGCCGAGCGCCAGGCAGGGACCAACAAGTACCATATTTTAACGTCTTTTGGTATGACGCGGTCGGGGATCGAGCCCGCGACCTTCCGCACTCCGAGCAGACGCTCTCACCACTACACCACGGAGGCGGTCTGTCAATGATATGGGCATAAGACATGCTGTTCTTCCGTCTTCCTATGATCTCAGACCTCAATATCCACCAATTTAAGTTTACATGGAATCGTGTGATTGTCGTTATATTCCGAAATTTATTTAAATATGAGCAATGTACGCTTTCCTTTTGGCTTTACATAACTCACCCTTATGTGTGTGTGAGTGAGTCAGTGTGTACACTGTCCGTGTGTATTACGAATTGTTATGTGCTTCATCCCTTATCTCTTGTCCTGCAGGTGATGTCATACTCAGCCTTCATCTTTGCACAAGCGAATGTTTCGGCAGCATATATCCCATATGTCATTGTCGGCACAGGATCTGTCAACGTTACTGTAGCCATCATCGTCGTACGTTACGTTCACGCTTGCCACATGGTCTGAACAGACATAAGCTCCATTAATGTTACTTATGGTCATTTTCCTATCAGAATCAGACTATTGAATTATCTCCCTTTCATAATGAAGATCTGGTCGAAATTCGAGAAACCACACAAAAAACCTTAATGATAACAAATAAAAGATTTTTGTTAAGGATAACTGAAATCTTTCATTCTTGGGAAAGAATGTTTTATGGAAGGTGTTATTTTTTAATTTAAAACAACTCAAAGAGAACGGGGATAACACGGAAACTCATGACTTGTTGGTGTTGTAGATACCTCTGATGGAGAAACTAGGACGTCGTCCTCTGTTGCTGTCGTCGATATCTATCATGGCTGTATCCTTTGTGCTCATGACAATCTTCCTACAGCTGCAGTTCGACTTTTCACTGAGGGTAAGTAATCCTGAACCTGTTCTCTGTTTCTGGTTTTGAACTGAATACAACTGACAGAATATGTAACCACATTAGGCAGTTTAGTTTTGTTCATGACTAGCTGCAAGCTATTAGAACTGGTGACACATAGTTTACAAGGTCCTTTGGAGTAGTCCTTAAATGGTGAATTTTGCTGGGTAAGTCATGTCCAATTTCACCTGCAATGTCCAAGAATTAACTACAAAGATTTAAACAACTGTTTCTGGGAATCACTTACCGGTCAATGGTTGTCAAGAAATATCTTAGAGAGTTCCACAAGATACAAATCTGACTTCAGGACAGCCATTCAACGTTTGCCATCGTGTGCATCGTCCTCATGCTTCTCTACATCGTGGGATTCACACTTGGTCTTGGTAAGTTCTTGTGTATGCCTCGAACAACTTCAGCCAAAATGTCTTTTGTGTTCGCTGTACAGCTCCAACCATTCTGTATTGGTATTCCAAATGCGACATAAGATATATCATACATCACTCATATGAAGATGAAAAGTATTGATTAAACGTCAAAGATTCAGTGTTGTATTAAATGCTAAAAGTGACTTCATTCTAATACCACGACCTCTGCATATTGCTTACGACGAAAGTCATTGGAGTTGCGCCGCAATCGTCTCAATTGATACTTTAGCATGGTGACATAGTTGCTATGTTGTAATTCGTTCACGATATCATGTCCAAGTCATTTGAAAAGATGTGGAAAATATATATTTTGACTGATCTATAGATTGTGAATGTTCTACATACATCATGTATGCCCTTCACTTTTGTAATCCCTGGAGCTCCCTTGAGTTTCTCGATATGAAGAAATTGTAACCCTGCAATGTTCTAGGCCCCATCCCATTCACCATTGTTACTGAGATCTTCAGACAGGAATCTCGTGCCGCCGCCATGAGTCTCTCCGTTGCCTGCAACTGGATCTGCAACTTCATCCTCACGTGGACGTTTCCGTTCCTCAGGGTAGGTAGCAGGAATCGTGCAGATGTGGAATAACTGACAATAGGCCAACCAATGAAAGTGTATACCCTAATATATGTATACTGATTCAATTTCCTTTATAAATACGCAAGGAATTCCTTTTTAAAAGCATACTATACATATGAAAAATTATTTGAATTTTAGGCAAATATTTGACACAAACCAATCCATGCTGAATCCCAACATGTGGGGGAATGGTTGCCGACGACAAAAGGTTTGAAAAAACCCCACGTTGAACAAAAACGTAACGTTACACTCACGTCTGTAGTGAATCGCTAAAACGCACCCTACATGAAATGCAGGTGCATCATTAAATTGTGTATCGCCTTGAGCTTAAGCCTATGACTGTTGGCTTTAAAAAGCCACATCAATGGTACTCCACATGCATTGCTTTAAGCTACTATAGACAACAAGAGAATGAAAAGACAGCAGCTCAACGACACAACGCTATCGGCCGTTTGCAAGGACGGGCATCGCAGCATGAGGTGGCAAGGCACTTCAGCGTGTCCAGACAGACCATCACAAACTTATGGACCCGATACAACAATACTGGGGGTGCTAATGACATACCCAGGTCAGGTCGAGCTACCACCGCCGCCCAGGATCCCTTCGTCCGGTTGAGACATTTTCGTTCAAACGGCCGCATCATCCACAACAATCCAAATCCCTGGACTGCGCTGAATATCCGACCAGACAGTGCGCAATTGGCTATGGAAAGAAGACCAGTTCAACGTCACGTCGTTCCCTTCATCAACGTCAACGGTTGATCTTTGGAACATGACAATGCTCGACCTCACGGTGCACGTGTTTGACAGGACTTCCTCCAGCAAAACAATGTTCAGGTGTTACTTTGGCCCTCTCGATCACCCGATTTGTCCCCCATCGAACATCTATGGGATACTCTTGATCGACGCTTGCGCCAGCGTAATCCGCCACCTCAGACACTACAAGAACTACACACAGCACTTCAGCAAGAGTATCAAAACATTCCTCAAGACAGCATTCGGCATCTCTTTTCTTCTACGGGCCGCCGCTGCCAAGCTGTTATCGATGCTCATGGTGGTCACACCCGATACTGACATTTTACTCTGACCAAGTGACTTTAATAGCCCTCTGTGGTTTTGCCGAACACTTTCTGGATAATCGTGTTTTGGAAATTTGTAAAGTGATGATTTTACTGTAACTGAGCAATGATGTCATATCTGAATCAGTTATATGCACTCAGTAAGTAAACTCCAAAACAGCATGTATAGTTTCCTTTTTGAAGAGTATATTTTATTTGAAATTTAATGCAATCTTATCTCATGTGTATTTACGATGGACATCAGACCTTGAAATATATTTGAATTTTTTAATACATAATCCGATTTATCGATGTCTCAAACATAAACGATAGATAGATATAGATGGACAACTTATTTATAACAAAGGATGCAACGTAAGATATGATAACGGTGTTGGCGTCTACATCGAAACGTCGCCTCCATTGCAATAAAGAAGTTGTCCATCCATTCCAGCTTCTAACTACCTCATCCGTGAAGATCCGGGTTAGAATTGATCTTCAGTAACCCATGCTTGTTGTAAGAGGCGACTAACGGGATCGGGTGGTCAGGCTCGCTCACTTGGTTGACTCATGTCATCGGTTCCCCATTGCGCAGATCGATGCTCATGCTGTTGATCACTGGATTGTCTGGTCCAGACTCATCATTTGATTGATAATGGTGCTAGGATCTACACAGAAAAGTCGAATCTATTGCAATAAAGAATAATGAAGTTCCTTAAATTCCACTTAAAAGAAGTTGATCCAGATTATTTACAGACCGCCGCCATATAGCTGGAATATTGCTGAGTGCAGCGTAAAACTAAACTCACTCACTCATTCTAACTACCTCTCAAAGAAGTTATCTGTTATTTATGTTTTTCTTGTAGGATGGACTCCAGGCCTACACCTATCTGCTGTTTGTGGCCATTCTGGTTGCTGCCCTCATCTTCTTCTCCTTCTACGTTCCTGAAACGAAGAACAAGACATTTGATGAAATTGCTTGCTCAATCGCCCCAGGAAGAGGTGCTCGTGGGAAGAGCTTGGCAATACATGAAGATCACAGTCTGATGGGGACCACCAAAGTTTGAGAACGGGAGAGTATAGATGATTAGATCAACAGGATGCATTTGTGTGCTAGATTGGTGGTTCAAGCATTTACTCGTCATACCAAAGAACCGGGTTCGATTCTCGACATGGTACATTGTGGGAAGTCACTTCCGGTGTACGACATTACTAGACTATTGCTGAACTCATACTCCCACTGGCATATTAAACAAGAAGGAGCTGAATTAAACGGATGTTGTTGTTTGGGGAGGGTGAAGAAACAGCTTACAGTTATGCAAAGAAGATGCAAGTTTCTAAAAATGTGAGATTAGTTTCAGGTCTCGAAGGTTTCTTCTTTGGTTACAAACATTTTACTCTGAAACAGATAGACTGTATGTGTTTTACAAGTACCATGTTTTTAAATGAGAGATTTTGACAGTAATCAAACTTGTCTGATAAAGTTTGTGGGTATAATACACATTATATTGCCACCTAACGCTCACAAGGTTACGCATGTCATGTCATGTCATGTCATGCATCAAACAACCAAACTTCAAAATATACTGTCGTGCTGGAAAATGGCAACGAAATGCAGACAATTGTATTACAGGTACGGATAGGTCGAACCGTCTGACGTGAAACGTCCGAATACGTTCTTAGATATGCATATTCAATGTAAAGGAAATGAAATCATCACGAACATATTTACACAATGATATAATGCCAAGATGCCATTCCAAACTCAATGTCACAAGGAGCAAGTTTTCCTCTGGTTTGAAGCTTTATCTAATCTTGTACTATATACTCTTAACATTTTGTGAACACAATCATATTTTTGTGCAATAAAGTATTTTATGTAATGATTTTGATTCTGTGCGACTAAGGTTTTCGTCCTCTTTATATTTGAAAGTTTAAAGATGATGGTAAAAATAACTTTATATAAATTCCACGACGCAATGCTATCTGGAGTCTCTTTTGATAATGTGTTATATGTGAAGGCGCCGAATACATTACATGGACTCAGTTCACACAGACACTGTGAAATGTGTTCACTGATGTCTTTGACGACGAAAACTTAGGGATGTGAATTAGGTTTTTATCATATAATTTGCAACGACTGACAACCCTGACATATGGCTCTCTGACATTACCTCAGTTTTCAAGAAGCGAATTCCAGGGAGCATTAACAGATTCAGAATCCTTATGTTAACATCAATTCTGTCCATGTCGAGAGGATTGGACACTTCCGAGGCAGTACCTCACAGCCAACATGGCTGTCCATCGGTTTCTGTGACATCTCTGTATACAGTCACTGCAAGACAAAGACGTTCATTATGAATGGAGTCAACAGTGTGGTGTAGCGTTGTCTTGTTGAAACAACTTCCTCTGTTGATAATCGGAAGAAGATGACGTTGAAGAACTACCCATGTGTGATTTGCTCCCAGATTTCCCCGAACCACCAACACCAACACCACCACCACCAAGACAGTTCTGTGTGTAGGATATGGCTTCCTTCATCACATGTCGACCCTTGGAACGCAGTCTGGTGCACAGCGTTCATCTTGACGACGGAATACACGCTGTCCGTCGTCTTGGCGTTGGAGAAGAAATCCTGATTCATCACTGCACCGCAAGTTTCTCATTGCCTGTACGGCGTTGCTCCACGCACCAGTTGACGACGATGCCAACCCTTCAATACAAAGACGATACCGGTCTTGTGGTTTTATTTCTCGCTGATGAATCCTGGTTGTTTTGTCCAAGACCCCCTCAAACCTCGAACAAACCTGCAGTCCCGGTAGCAGTAGCATGTCGATGTGTCGATCTTGTGGAGGGAGGGATGGTGACCCTTGGTCTACCATCTTTGTTTGAGGCGGGTATGCCGACTCAACGAACAATAAATGATGCTCTGATGTACGTTGAATGTTTAATGGAAAACTAAATCAACATTCTCATTGTTCAATGCAATGCACTTCCCGTTTTGAAGAGTGCAAAACAAAATGAACTAAGGGCACTTAAGCTAATGAAGGAGCTTGCAATAACGTCAAGTTCAACTTCGAGACAGCGTGGAGTACGACGGTGGAAGGGTATATGTGGATAGATTTGACTTGTCAACTCGGCTTGACGTACTAGAGCATCAAGTGGCTTTGGACGACTCCATCAAGTGCCACACATAAATGTAAAAAAGATATCGAAAAGTAGGTCAGTGATGCGGCCGTTCGCAGGAGTCATGAGCGAATACTGTTGAAGACCGCGAGGAGACTTGGGTAGGTTGCATATTCTTCATCTCGTTATTGCATAGAAATACTTGTTTTCATGTGGGAATTCGTGATGAAATTGTAACGGAACACATGCTATTGTGTAGAAATACTATTGGCGTTTTACCACATGTATGTGGAAATAGATTATTAACGAAATATTAAACATTTTCATTTTGTTACTTTGTGGAAATAGTACTTTTGGCTTTTTATCACCCAGTGATGTTTTATGTGTGGGCATAGCAGAAATACATTTTTCTTCTTATTGCTGTGCAGCAATTCAGTTATTGTTGGCTTTTACGACATTTACAACCTGTTTTACTTACACACATACACATCAGTGTGCACGTTTATTATTCTTGAACGCGAACCATATATCCTCATCTCATTATCCATATGCCAAGTATTCCCCAAACATTGCACAACTGTTTTATGGATCTGCCAGGCTTCTATCGGTAATAGCAATGATTTGAAATAATAATGAGCTGATGTGGTCATGTCATACTCTTCATGGCATGACTATTTTGTTAAGTCAGCCCTAAATCTGATTGAATAGTTTGTCCATCGATTAATCGTATGTATTCATACTTAATGAGAATAGGACACCGACAAATGACAAATGGTTGTCTGTTCTCTGGAGAGTAAACATGGAATAACACGCATGGCGTACTTCTACTTGTCAGAAACGTTTAGAATGTTGTATAGCATTCTCTTGTATGATATACTGAAATGTTATATAGGATATTTATATAGCGCACATATCCAGGCAACTAGTGCATGCTCAAGGCGCTGGTATTATTTCCCTAAATCATTGGATGTCAATCTCTACGGCACTTCGTATTATCAATCTCAACTCCCTGGGGAGTATACAACTCTTGCTGCCACTAGGCGCACAGAGTTATTGTGGCTTTCTCATCCTAACGAGGTACCCATTTACAGCTGGGTGGACTGGGACACATAGCCACAGTACTTTGTCCAACTTCACTGCACGTTGCTGTACCCGCAACTAGGTGTGTGCACGTATTCATGTGTCAACCATCTGGTCATATACCAACGGATTCGTGAGTTCATTTAAGTGCACAGGGTTGTGTACTGTACACTAGGGGTTGTGACTACACTGAAAGAGTCTGCACACAAAGTTGACTCCAAGGTTTTTTACACCAAGTCACAGGTGGGCTCGATCCCGGCACCTCAACCTCGCTGGATCTGTAGCCTGGCCCCTTAGCCAGCTCGCCCACCGCGCCCCACATAGACATGTTGTCGCAGGCTTTAGACCAAATAATAAAAGTTTCCAGCTTCCAAAAGTCGTAATGATTATTTTCGATCTCCTTCCTAAGATTTTAGATGCGACTCCTAGATTACGGAATCCGATCATAATGTTTTCGATAATAAATCGCCCACTTTGTGATCCATAGTTGTTCAGCCATGGTAGGTAAGCGTTTGTGATCTTGGTTAAAGGTTTTCTCCTTCCTAACATGATCATTAAACTGAACAGTGAAAAGCCTTATGAATCCACACCACTCACAATCGTTCAAGCTGAAGAGGCGCGTTGGGGTAGTCTAATGGTTAAAGCCTTCGTTTGTCATGCCCAAGACTCGGGTTCGATTCCCCACACGGGTACAATGTGTGAAGCCCTTTTCTGGTGTTCCCTGCCATGACGTTGCTGGAATATTGCTAAAAGCGGCGTAAAACTAAACTCACTCACTCATAGGTTCTGAACCTGATGTTGATATTTGACATCTCATTTGATTCACATTTGCAACTATGACGCCCTAAAATGTCTTTAAACATCAGGATGACCATGTAATTCAAGCACTACAAACTCAATGTCACCACAAGGCATCTCCAACACTAATGATCACAGCTCGAATCCTAGTCTGATTCATCCTATTGATGGTTCCATTTGTCAGCACCATACCGCCATTGATCAGTTTCACAGAAGTTGAAAAGTGAGAACCCTTCCATCAATAAGCGTTTTGTAAGATATACATCTTCATAAAAGTTAAACAACGCTAAATGTTTTCAGTCTACAGAAACCCCGGCATGTTGGTCATATGGAATAATCGTGTTTTCTATACTGAACCAAGCAACAGCGAGGTATCATTGTTGCAACCAAAAGTCAACTGACATTTCTTCTGACCGATATCAGGCATCAACGTACCCATTTAAAACCCAAGCTTGCACCCAACAGGCAAAGGTGAGGTGAGGTGAGGTGAGGTGAAATTGTGTTTAACTTCGTGCTTGAGAATATTTTGCTAATATGACGACGTGCATGCGTGTGTATGTGTATGTGCGGCTGCTTGTATTAGCCCAGACTGAAGCTGGTTTTATAGTGCTAGCCCACTGAGATACCATGCCGCAGTGAAGCATGAATACCCCACTCAGACACATTACTGACTCCGAGCCGACCAGTCCTTGTTGTACCCATTAATGCCGAGCGCCAGGCAGGGACCAACAAGTACCATATTTTAACGTCTTTTGGTATGACGCGGTCGGGGATCGAACCCGCGACCTTCCGCTCTCCGGGCGGACGCTCTAACCACTACACCACGGAGGCGGTCCCAGGCAAAGGTTCAGGTCATGTCAGGCAAGTACATATTGCTGACAAAAGCATGATAGTGCACCCATGCAGGCTGCAGCACAATATCCTGTAGTCCTGAGAGTTACGCCAACAAGGCGCTGGTTGTAGGTGAGTGAGTTAAAATGTAATTTTACATAGGAAATATTTCAGCCATACCGCAGCGAGAACAGTTTTTGCATAAACGCTAGTTTATAAGTAAAGTAACTAAAGTCATGTCGCCAAAGAACAGTAAAACAGCTTGAGTATCACAGATTTGTATTTAAATCAAACATGAAATCATACAAAGCAATATCTATTTACAATACAATCACCATATCAAGGACCATGAGGACTTGTAGCACTTTTGCAAAACACCTGGATTTACAGCAACGCTGCAGGTGTTGGCCTTCAAGCATCAAAAGAACATATATTCTACGATCAAAAGACTGGTAGACAAGGGTTCTCCTGCTCGACGTGGACTTTCATACATTATGCAAGGGACAATAATTTTGCAAAAGTGATAGGTGGTTAGAACAACATTCAAAACAAAACCAACAGGCGTGAGAACATGAATCACAGACACAATTCAGACATTGACAGAACGATGGATAATTAATGTTTCGTTTTGATCTTGATCTATTTGCATTGGTCATGAGAAATATGCAACAGTAAACGTGCATTGGTATACTACAATAACGTCTATGAAACAGTAATGATTAATAATAAACTGTTAAAGAACATATCGCATTACTAATAACTGTTTTGTATAGTGAGCGTCAGTTTAAGCATTGGAAGTTGTGTACTTGCAACAACATAAACAATGAGGCTCTAACACGTAACATGACAAAAAGTTGGAACATTAATGTAATTGTCAATGTCGCGGCTTACCATCTGTATTGTTGACCTGGAGAATCAGTACAGTCCACACATGGCATAGAAGAAGGACATGCTGGCAAGAATGTTGACAATGGTGAACACCTTAAAGCCGAGTCTATCAAGCGCGGCAGCGATGTCCGACCCAAGAACCACTTTAATACCGGTGCTATCTCCATGTGTATCGGGAGCCTGGTCAATGGTTTTGACTTTGACTATGTCATCAGCAAGGATCTTGATCTTCTTGTCTGGCAAGAGATACGTCAGCAAGCGGGTTGCCCTTATGTACCTTGGGTCTCGGTGGTGGAATGCCAGGTTGACAACGGTGACGATGGTGGCCGCCATGCTGAGAAAGATTTCAGTAGCTAGATAGGCACTGAAGTAACATACTCCGTCTGAGTTCTCGGGAAGAGCGTCGTTGACGAGTGTGAGGAACACAGCATAGGAAAGCATAACAGAGATGCAGAGGGTGATCTTCTCTCCCGAGTTGGCAGGCAGAGCAAAGACGAGGGAGTTCAATAGAGACAGAAACACTATTGGCAGGATCATGTTGATAATGTAGAACAGGGTCTTACGTTTTATGTTTAAGGTGAATTCCACACGGAAATGACGGCCCCTGTGTTGCCAAACCTTTTGTGGAACTATTTCTTCCAGCTCCCACTCGCCATTTTCCTCATACTTCATGTGCAATACCGGTTCTGGAGCTAGATCAAGGTTTACAATTTTCCTTTTACAGCTCAACTGCTGCAGGATCAGCTTGCAGGACTGGGTGTCGAAAGGATAGTGACGGACATCTACCTTGCAGTAGGTCTTGTAAAAATCGCCAGGAAACCATACTATGGTACCTGTCGACTCCAGATAGACTTTCAAGTTCCTGTTACCAATTTGGCCGTAATTGGAAACGGCATTCTGCACGATGACGTCTGGGAGCCAGAGCTTGTCTGTTGGCACATAGATGACCTCCGTGTTGTATTCCTTCGGATTCCATTTGAGAAGAGGCTCCTTCCAAGTCAGGTCAAAAATGGCAGACAGACTTAGAACTTGATCCTTTTCGTTGAGATCCACCAACGAGTTAATACTCATCCAGACGTCAATGGTCCAGTTCGGAGAATTGTTTTGGTTTGGCCAAACCAGAGGGTCGTAATTCCTGAAGATATCTTTAAACAGTTGACTCTCGTTCTTTGGTACTGGCAAAGATCCTGACAGTGCGGCACGACATACTGAAACAAGGACAACGAGCACACCCAGAAACATGTTGTGTGAACGCTGAATGAACTAATGATGTCTCTCTCAGGCAATAACATATTTATCATAATAACGCTGGGTGTCTCCATTCACAGGGGGAGATTGGAAGGTACTTGATCTCGGGATGAGTCCTATAAGAAGATGACATTCGGACATATTCTTTCAAATTGATACCTTGTAAAAGTTAAGTGTTATTTCTAACTGAAATTTATGAATGCCTGGACATCTGCTCCGTGAGAATAAAGAATATTATAAGTAAAAACATCACCCCTTGGGAAATAGTAGACGTGTCCTCTTATAATTCGCATAGGCTATGGGAGCTTCACATACAATAACATCATCCCAGGCCAAAGAAATGTATTCATAGCCCAAACTGTTTAGTTTTCGTGATTCGGAGCGTTTGTTTAGTACAAGAGAACACAGTGACTCATTGTGGTCTGACGTCAAACTATTGTTCATTAATTTACCTTTGCGATTTTAGGAATTATTTTGTCATTACTGCACTTGCACGACTATCTTGTTAATTGTACCGTATAGTTACATGCAGGCGTTAAGGGATATGGCAAACCGTCCGCTTGAAGGCCAGGTGATGCATGCTTTTGGTATTTTCATACTCTTTAGTCGACGTCGTTCGAGCGACAATTAGCTGACAGTCAGCAGTTATTTATATATTTATATATTATGGAACGAAATGGAAAAAGATGATATCCAGACTGTAGATATTGCTTAGGTTTCAGTTTGAACCACATAGTGACAACACGAATGATGTGAACAATAACGGGGATTCCAGCAGCTCGAGCTGTGCTGAAACGGGCCCCGATTCTGATAAAGTGAATAACACAGAATAGAGAGTATATTAAGTTGTATGTTTCAGAAATTTATGATTATATTATGGAATCCTAGAAGGGACATCGTCGCGTTGTCAAATTGTCGCGTTAAAGCGAAAAGGGGCAAAATTAACCAATGCGCGACAATGCGACCTTTTGGCCATTTGTAGCATTGTCCCTAGGATTCGATACTATTCAGTTCGAGCAACACTGTTGTATTAACGGGTTAGAATATTTATCTTCAGTAACCCATGCTTGTCGTGAAAGGCGACTAACGGGATCGGGTGGTCAGGCTCGCTGACTTGGTTGACACATGGGTGTCCTCCCATTTGTGACAACTCCCAGTTGTGAGACACATTAATTAATGGTTCAGTGCACACAGGTGGTGCTTTCCCATCCCTACGATGAAAGTGGGAACAGCCCTGTTGCTGAAGAGTACCCGCAGGAGGCATAGTTCATTGATGAGTTTATTAACACAGAAGACATTGTTCGTTGAAGAGCATTTATTGTTTTCAATAGATACTGAAATACTGAAAAAGATTATCGTGAACTGCTGATATATTCTACTTGTTGAAGGCCTGCCATAATTGTGATCGGAAAGAGCAGTCAAAGGTTAATAAATACATTTGGATTAATTATTTTTACAACAGTTATTGCTAGATTTTTCAAACACGTAAATCTGAGTAGGTAAATTAATTTCTCTTTCAAATGATCACGAAGTTACCTACACAAAGTGTTTATGTTTTTAAGCCATTTATCTGAGTAGGTTAATTACTTTATCTTTAAGAGTTTCATTAAGTTACCTCCACAAGATTCAGTTAAATAGCTAATCCATAATTAGCTGGGGTTTATCCATTCTATCAGATAGGGGAGTAAGGTGTGTTTTCTTTGCTAAGTACCTACTCCACTGTCTCACAACTGGGAGTCTCACAACTGGGAGTTCTCAGAAATGGGAGTAGACCGACACATGTCATCGGTTTCCAATTGCGCAGATCGATGCTCATGCTGTTGATCACTGGACTGTCTGGTCCAGACTCGATTATTTACAAACCACCGCCATATATCTGGAATATTGCTGAGTGCGGCGTAAAACTAAACTCACTCACTCACTTACTCTTTGTTGTATAAAAGGGAGACCATGATAGGAATCTTATTGCACTACACGTGGCTCTTTTTGATAGTCTGGGCACGTGCGCTCACGTTTTCTCGTAATTCATGGGAAGCGCAATGCAGCGTGATATCATGACATGTTCTTGTCGAGGATCTGGTGCCGATCATGGCTGGTCGTGGTCCAGGCCTCCAGTTCCAAGATGACAATGCAATACAGAACAAGCCGCAGTACTTTATTCCGAGTCCCTATCATATCAACTGTTGACTGTGGAGGGTGCACCAAGCGCACCTTAATGCCTAATCCTGTTCTACTGTACGCTCATTACGTCCATAAACCAGATGTATCCACAAGCCACACACCTTGTTCTTTTGGTCATAAAGTGACACATGTGAAATTTCCTTTTGTACTTAGGACCCACTATGATCCGGGATAGAATTGGCATCTCAGGAACCCATGCTTGTCGTAAGAGCAATATAGATATTGTAAATTCAACAGCTCGTTAACGGAGAACATGTATTCAATGTCATTACGTCCATAAATGGTCGTGCAGGCCTCCAGTAAAATTACTATTATATTTAGTTGCAGGTGGCGCCAGTAACATAATAAAATATATATATATTATCAACCGACGCCTAACCCACACTTTTGATAAGAATCATTCTTTTATAAAAATGTGCAATATCGTCCGTATCTGACCACCTTATATTCACAGGCGTATATTCTGGCCAAAAGGTATCTCGGGGCACTTCTTCAAAAACAGGAAATTGCGTTAAATTTATAGATTACACTCATTGATCAAATGAACCTTTCATTTAGTGCAATTCAAATTACTAGAGAAAATACCTAATACATTTCAGTGACTACAATGACAGAAAACGTGTATTGTATTTCTATCACCAATCGAATCGAACCCGAGTCTTCGGCATGACGAGCGAACGCTTTAACCACTAGGCTACCCCACCGCCCCCGTGAGAACATGAATCGCAGACAAATCAGACATTGACAAAAGGAAGGATTATTAAAATTTTGTTCTCGATCCTGATCTATAAATACATTGGTAGTGAGCAATACACAATGTGCGAAACAGTAAACAATCACTAATTTATGAAACAGTGATGATTATTAATAAACTGTTAGAGAACATTTTGCAATATTAATCATTGTTTTGTTAAGCGAGAGTCAACTTAAGTCTTGGAAGTTGTGTAGTTTGCAACAGTGTACATTATGAGAGTACAACAAGTAAAAGGTTTTAAGGAACAACATCACTTTAAATGTCAATTTCACGTCTTACTATATGTATTGTTGACCTGGAGAATCAGTACAGTCCACACATGGCATAGAAGAAGAACATGCTGGCAACAATGTTGACAATGGTGAACACCTTAAAGCCGAGTCTATCCAGCGCAGCAGCGATGTCCGACCCAAGAACCACTTTAATCCCTGTGCCTTCTTCGTGCGTATCGGGAGCCTGGTCAGTGGTTTTGACTTTGACTATGTCATCAGCAAGGATCTTGATCTTCTTGTCTGGCAAGAGATACGTCAGCAAGCGGGTTGCCCTTATGTACCTTTGGTCTCGGTGGTGGAAGGCGAGGATGACAACGGTGACTATGGTGGCCACCATGCTGAGAAAGACTTCAGTAGCTAGATAGGCACTGAAGTAACATACTCCGTCTGAGTTCTCGGGAAGAGCGTCGTTGACGAGTGTGAGGAACACAGCATAGGAAAGCATAACAGAGATGCAGAGGGTGATCTTCTCTCCCGAGTTGGCAGGCAGAGCAAAGACGAGGGAGTTCAATAGAGACAGAAACACTATTGGCAGGATCATGTTGACAATGTAGAACAGGGTTTTACGTTTTATGTTTAAGGTGAATTCCACCCGGAAATGTCGGCTTCTGTGTTGCCAAACCTTTTGTGGAACTATTTCTTCCAGCTCCCACTCCCCATTTTCCTCATAATTCATGTGCAATACTGGTTCTGGAGCTAGATCAAGGTTTACAATCTTCTTTTCACAGCTCAACGGCTGCAGGATCAGGTTGCAGGACTGGGTGTCGAACGGATAGTGACGGACATCTACCTTACAGTAGGTCTTGTAAAAGTCCCCAGGAAACCATATTATGGTACCTGTCGACTCCAGATAGACTTTCAAGTTCCTGTTACCAATTTGGCCGTAATTGGAAACGGCGTTCTGCACGATGACATCTGGGAGCCAGAGCTTGTCTGTTGGCACATAGATGACCTCCGTGTTGTATTCCTTCGGATCCCATTTGAGAAGAGGCTCCTTCCACGTCAGTCCAAACATGGCTGACAGACTTAGAACTTGATCCTTTTCGCTGAGATCCACCAACGAGTTAATACTCATCCAGACGTCAATGCTCCAGTTCAATGAATTGTTTTGGTTTGGCCAAACCAGAGGGTCGTAATTCCTGAAGATATCTTTAAACAGCTGACTCTCGTTCTTTGGTACAGGCAAAGTTTCGGGGCCCGACATTTCTGCATGACATACTGAAACAAGGACAACGAGCACACCCAGAAACATGTTAAATGAACTGATGATGTCTTTCCCAGGCGATAGCACGTCTATGATTAAAATGTTGGGTGTCTCCATTTATCAGGGAGAATCGAAGGTACTTTATGTCAGAAGACACCCTTTTAAAGAAGATGCCATCCATTCGTATTCTTTCATATTTACAAAGAGCCAAGTGTTATTATTCATAATTGTACTTCATTAATGCCATGACATCAGCGATAGCGACAATAGATAATATTTAAAGTAAAAATATTACCCCTTGGGAAACAGTAGACTTGTCCTCTCACAATGTGCAGAGGCTGTGGGCGCTTGAAATATAATAGGAAGCATTATCTCAAACTAAAAAAATGTATTTATAGCCCAAGCTGTTGGTGTTTCGTGATTCACTTTGTTTGTTCAGTGCGATAACAAATGCTGAATCGTTATCTCCCGTCAAACTGTTGTTGATGAATTTACTTTTGCCAGCAATGAGTCTTTGAACGAAAGCTTGAAACAGAATCGTTTTGTCAAAACTGCACTTGCACGACTATCGTGCTAATTGTAC